TCAGACCATAACACATCGGGTTTGTAATTCTCAATTATCTCATGCAACTCTGGCAAGCAGATATCCTGAAATGTACATGAAACTCCAGTTAGAATTTGCATTGTCTTTTGACTATGTTGCCCTTGGCTTTGAATGGGGGACCACTCTTCAATCCAAACTTTGAAATGGGAGGGGGGGGGGCTTTAAATGGGAAAGATAGATGCAAGTACAATGAGATCATGGTAAGGTGTTTGGGACTGATTGGACCTGGACAATTGGTCCAAATACTTTAAAAGTTTTGATGAAGGATTTCTATTTTTTTTTGGGGGGGGGGGGTAAATCAGGTTGTTTCACAGTCTCTGTACACAGGATTTAATAAGTTGTGTAAAATATCAGTGATAACAAGGATTGTACATTTCTAGAACTTGTATTTTACATACAATATTGAAAATACGTAAGGTACAGTCTGCGGTTGTAGGTTTTTCTCCGTCAGATTTGAAACTTATGACTAATTATCAAAATAGTAAATTAACCAGCATGATTTACTATATAGGAACCATACCCATCCTGGCAAATTCCAACACGATATGGGAAACTGCACACACATATTTCTGACTCTGATTCTGGAGGTGTGCCAACCCAATGTAAAAGACTGTCAGTTTAGGGGTTCTGTACCCATCCCGACAGATGCCATTGGGGTTAAGATCAGTGCAAAATTCCAGTACTCCCTCTAAATTTCTAGAGGATATTGCAGAACCCTCTGCATGTTAAAGCATCACTAGGTACACAAGATCTAGAGCAGCTACACAGCCTATAAACTTGCCCTTACCAAGGTGTACGTTTGGGTGCTAAATCCACCTTTCTTGTCTTGCAGATACAGCGGATTGAACCATTCAAACAGCGAGTGGTACAGTCCAAAATGGACATCTTTGGTGTAGTTCCGAATTGCTGTTGCCAAATCACCTGCAGGGCAAGGAATAGTATGGGAAAGATTTCAAACAACAATCAAATTCTTCAGATCAAGACATGAAGATTTCAACTTAACTTAAATTTGATTTTGAGAAACTTAAATGTTCTTGCTCACCAACAAGATCTCTTTTAGGACAAACGTCCATGGAGTTCCAGTTCCAGGAATACTTGGAGGGCCAGTTGGTGAAAACCCTCGTGATGTTTGCTGGTCAACACAACATACCTGTGACGAAACAAATAATTTCAGTAGATGATCAACAACAAATACAAATATGACCGCCTTGCACAGGAGGACCCTCCTGCTATTTAAGAGGTCACAAATGGTCAAAATTCTTCCACTCCCCTGGCATACTGTTAACATACCAATGGGGGTCTTGACCAATATTGACCCAAGTAATAACATGGCTCAGAATGCATGTTTTCATAGGAGGGTTTTAATAAAACTTACCATCAACAGGGGTTCTTATAAACTTCACAATTGTAATAATTATGTCGGTCATGGGCAACATGGACTAATAATAAAAAATATATTTTTCATAGTTTTTAAAATAGCTTTTCAATTGACTTAAGATTAGACGATTGGTTTGTGATGAGTGAAACTAATAGCTGTGCTCATTTAAACTATAACTTAGATGTTAAATCTGTAAGTGTATTTATGTAATGACAAATTGTTCAACATGGAAAATTACTTGCCTGGATTTTTGTATCAAATTATTAATACTATTATATTACTAGCAAGTGGGAAAACGGAAAAATTCTGCCAACTGGACACCACTTTTTTCAATTAATTTTCTAGCGCCAAAAGTTACCTCTTTTATGGTTATTCCCTCCACTTTCCCTCCTCTACTCTCACCCCCTCCTTTCCTTAATTTCTATTTATCAATCAGTCGCTCACTTCATCGAGATTCGAACCTCGGACGCTTGCTTGATACACGAGTCTCTTAACCGCTAGGCCGCGCACGATCGCTGTTGCAATGATCAATCTTTGGACGTATTTGAAGTATCCATTGAAATAAACTAAATATTCATGAGAAAATAAATATTCATAATGACGTATTGCACTATCATTGGCCGGCTCATGCGACGTCTCATGCGACGTCATGGTTATCGATGTCATGCGTATAACGTACCGCTGTTCCAGACACTTCAATCAGTTTTGACCGGCTGCTTCAACTCGGATCTGCACTACATGTGCATGCAAAATGTGCTCCAAAAACACATTTTTACCAATTTTTTTTCGCATGTCCACTCTTTCCTGGATTCCTCTTGGTTGAAATCACAAGGTAAGGTGAAAATTTGGATGTTTGGCGGCAGGTAAGTAGTGTCCGGTTGGCAGAATTTTTCCGGGAAAACCCCCATATATTTTAACTGTTAGCGTTATTCAAGTTTGGGCAACTTGTTTCTCTCGCTGCGAAAAAAATAAAAATCAATTATACAATCAAAGGAAAAGCATGAAAAGTGCTAGATTGAGTAGCTCCAGCTCCAATGCATAAGCATTGGAGCTGACTCAAGCTAGAAAACTCGGCCATTACTGGACCAAGCCCAGTCTAATGGTGCTTTCTTAGCTGTAGGTAGCTTTCCAGCACTTAACTGGCTCATCACTCGTCACTCAAATTCTGATGAGAGGCAGGCTGGCTCTAAACAACAGACACACATACATTGGGGATTGGGGATAGCCTGACTGCTTATCAAGGACAAACCACTGCACTCCCACCTGTTTATTAGTATGTGCGAACATATTTATTATGGTCGTCAACTGATTAAATAGCCATTATCTTAGTAGGGGGCTAATGAATACGAACCGGGACCGGGTTCGCGAAAGCCACATTAGACTGGGCTTGGTCCAGTCACGAGTGCATGGTTTAATGACAGAAAAAAAAACCTGATAATATTCAGATCAATCAATTCAAATCAAACTCCTGTTCAGAATTGTTTTTTTTAATTTTTTTATTTAATTGTAATTCTAAAACTTTACTTACTTGGCACCCGATGCGTCGATAATCTCAGCGAATGTCTTAGGGTCGTAGAACTCAGCCGTGAACATGGGAGCGAAGTCGGGATAGGTAAACCCAGGCCGGTAATTCTTCTTCATGAACTCGACGTAAGGCGCCAGGGGTTTACCCTGCCAATGCCACCAGAACCACTCGGAGCCGAAGCTGGGCACGGAGAAGACTCCCCAGTGCATGAAGATGCCAAATTTGGCCTCATCGTACCATGAAGGCAGGGGTCTGGAGTCGATGGAGGGCCAGTTTGGCTCGTACTTGTACTTGCCTCTTCTGCCGAGGCACTGCGGAACTGCGGCAAGGACGATACACATGGAAATAAACGAGAGTAGCGTAGCAGACGCGGCCATTGTTGTTTATCACTGGCGGTACGGCGGGGAAACAATCTCTTTACACGCCGCAAATCCCTCAACAACTCCACCTTTAGTGGTTAGAGCATGGAGGAAGGAGTAGACTGCAGCTCAGACAGTAATTCTGGCCTGAATTTCCAGTGATGCCAAGCTCACAAAGTAACTGAATTGCGTGCAGTGAGTGACAGACGATCGGCGCGCTACCCAAAATTGGCTTCACGATCGTGTGTCGAATAATTTGATCACATGACCAACTTTAAGCGAAAGTGCAAAGATCACATGACCATACATATCACGTGACTAGATAAACTAATTAGATGAATGCAAAAGTCAGCAAATTTGTTTTAATTAATACCATCATATTTTGAAGGTCATTTCGTGAACTCAACCGAAACGAATTGCGCCTACTACTTGACATACAGTATACATGTAGTTAGATTCTGTTATATATAATCTTGGACAGGCAATGATTTTATTCACTCAGCCGCACCCGTCCATACAGTTTTGTTGCGAAAATCGGTTTATATTTTCCCTCAAAAGTAAAAAGTCTTTCAGATGAAATTTGTTTGTTTTTTTGCTTTTGCGTCATTGTTTTCGGTCTTTTCTATGTTTTTGAGGGGCAGCTTAAATTGCAAATACAAAAGCACGCAAGCAGCTATATGGAGGAAGGAACATCAACTTGAAGGGCGGATCCAGCTAGAACACATTTTTTTTTGGGGGGGGGGGAGGGGCCAAAACAAATTTGGGAGGGGCCAAAAATGTTTTTGGTCCCCCCAAAAGTGGGTCCAAAAACTTACGATGTGGATGGGGTTCGGGGCCCGCTGAAGGGTCCTAAATTTTTTTGCAATTCTAGATGATTAAGGTGCGATCTCAGGCAGTCGGTTGCTGACCAGTGCACTTTTACCAATTTTTTTTTAGGAATAGATGGTAGTGTACGCAGTGCTTGCTTTATTACGACGTCACTTAAAAAAAACACAAAAAATGGGTTTGTGTTGGGGGGCATAGCCCCGTTGCCCCCCCCCCCCCCCCGACATCGGCCGCCCTTGCACTGGCTACTTGTTTCTTTTTATTTGTGTTCATGCCCTGAAAGGAGTCTTTTAAATTTTGTCATCATGTTGGAACCTATTCCCTAAATGTTTAATCTCATGGCTTGCCATATATCAGTAGATTCCAAATATATTTCCCCTCCCACCGCAAGTAAGTACACGTCAGTTCCGCCCATCATCGGTAAATTTGGCACTGATATCATTCTTGCATGCTAATACGCATGCGCACTAGAGGTCACAAGACAAAAAAACCAAGGGATGTCAACAACAATAACAGTCGGGCTCTCACCTTTTACCAAGTGCAGAATCAAGGGAGGAAGCAAAGGTACCTGACCATTAATTCTGACGATTATTTCCATCCAGCGAAGACAGCTGTACGGTGAAAACTGTCAACGTCGGTGGGATTTTTACCCGAGAATTTCCCCCGGAAATCTCTTCCTGCAGGCCATGCACGGACTACAGAGCTGACAGGGCGACAAAGCAGGCCTCATGAACCTCGCAAACCAGCCCGCAGACCCAAGCTCCAACCTCCTTTTTGTGAATTTTAACCAGGATTACACGTAAGCAAAAAACATCAATGTCGCACTCGCTGTTCAATTTACATAGACGTTAGCTGGAGTTACCCAGCCCTGAGTTTTATCATATGGGTTGTCTATAAGGGCTGGAGCGTATTTTTCTCATAAGTAGTAGTATATTCAAAAAAAATTTGGAAAATGTTCAATTTTGTCCCCGTTACACACTAATTGCAACTGCAACTCACCCCAAACTTGCCTGGAATAACCATTACACAGGTCATTGAAGTAAAAAACGATCCACGATGAAGATTCAGCCTACAATTGCAGTGAAAACAGGAGGAATAACCGCTAACTTGACAACCTTTCAGGCATGGCCAGGACTGCTATGGAATTTTGCACACAAAAAAATTGTGTACAATGAATGGCGGCGGTCGATTACCACCACGTACAGCTCAGTGGTACTACGCGTTTTTGCGGTCGGTGTGACGTGACGCGGAAGCGTAATACCCGATGACTGTTTCATGCATTAAGAAGAGGTTCACTCGCATCACAGTGCGGTACTGGAACGGCAACCGTCGAGTAAATACCACTGCACTATGAATGCACGATAGCCGGCCAACTCGACGGTTGCCGTTCCAGTACCGCACTGTGATGCGAGTGAACCTCTTCTTAATGCATGAAACAGTCATCGGGTATTACGCTTCCGCGTCACGTCACACCGACCGCAAAAACGCGTAGTACCAGCGAGCTGTACGTGGTGGTAATCGACCGCCGCCATTCATTGTACACAATTTTTTTGTGTGCAAAATTCCATAGCAGTCCTGGCCATGCCTGAAAGGTTGTCAAGTTAGCGGTTATTCCTCCTGTTTTCACTGCAATTGTAGGCTGAATCTTCGTCGTGGATCGTTTTTTACTTCAATGACCTGTGTAATGGTTATTCCAGGCAAGTTTGGGGTGAGTTGCAGTTGCAATTAGTGTGTAACGGGGACAAAATTGAACATTTTCCAAATTTTTTTTGAATATACTACTACTTATGAGAAAAATACGCTCCAGCCCTAATAGACAACCCAATGATAAAACTCAGGGCTGGGTAACTCCAGCTACATAGACGTGACATTCATGGCGTAGGCACTTTTCGATCAAGGTCTTTGTTTATAACAATGTTTTGCGTACAAGTTCTGAAGGAAGTGTTGTATCTTAGTTCTTACAAACTTTGTTGCTCTGTTAGAAATTAGGTAAATAATAAATTGGGAAAAACATAAATTTAGGAATAGGATGGAGTATTTAAATTTTAAGAAACCAAGTTCAATGTTTTGTCAATTGTATTTGTAATGAAGTCTTTCCCATACACCAAATGGACAAAAGTTTAAATTTAGGCCTAGGTAAAATCACATTTCAGATTTGGACAAATCATTTGTTTATAATGCATTTATATTTAGGGATCTCTTTTTGACCTACCTGTTTCTATTTCATTTGATTGATTAATTTTTTATTTGTTTTATTTATTTACTCATTATTACTATAAAATATTACTTTATTTGTTTTGGTTGGGCAGAGGGGTTAATTTCTCATTAAAACTCATTCTTTGTCTATTCATATCGATATGTTTTGATCTAAATTGTTGCAATGTGTGCGCTTTCTTTTATATATTTTGTGAATATTTGTTGTTTGTATGTGTTTTTAATGCTGAACAAATAATAATAATAATAAAAGAACACAATTTGTTCGTTTGGATTGCAGTATAGAAGTACTGGTATAAATTTTCATTATTATTTTGCCAAATGGGAAAAGAGATTCTCGTTTCAGGATTTGAGTGAATAACAGAATGAGCCCTGGAATGAACATACATACATGTAAGTGAAGTGCAAGAATACTGACTTATGTCAGAACAATTTCTTTTACAATCTTTTTTTTGTTTTTGTTTCCCCTCACTAGATCTCTGGCAGTTGGAGCTAAGACAGGGTACAGGCTTTTCTCACTCACATCAGTTGATAAACTTGAGCAGATCTACGAAAATGGTAATTGTTGATTTTTTGGAAGATTCAGAAAAGTCTAGTGTTGTACTAGTGCAGTACTTTTATCTGAGTTCTGACGAGTACCAAGTTATCAGGTACCAAGTACTTTGACCATTCAGAGTGATTTACAGGTACCCGGAGTCCAAGTACTTGCACCTTGGAGCTCCAAGTATGAGTACTTTGTGGAGTATTCAAGTGAAAACATTTATAATCTCAAGTAATGAGTGGCAACTGAAACAACAAATTCAGCAACGAGAAGCAAGACTTCTTAAAAGCCAAAACTAAATTACTTGATTTTTCCCTGAGTCCTTAGAATCGAGTATGAGTACTTTGATGATGGAGTACGATATCGAATAATCAAGTCCATCTACTTTGGTCCTCATGTACTGTATATTTGAGTCCAAGTATTTTGAAATTTGAGTGCGCGTGGAAGTACGAGTATTCTCAAAAAGTACTGATGTTGTACTTGAGTACGAGTACCGAGTATAACAACACTGGAAAAGTCCCTTGCAGAAATTGTATTACAGTGACTGTTAGGAAGATTTTGAAGGATTGACGTAGTGGTCACCCGTCCACTAAAAAAAAAATGCAAGAAAAAAATGGATGATTTTGGAGGATTAAGGCTATATGAATGTTTACATGGTGGCATTTGGAAGATTTTGAACGATTGCGATTGGATCCTAGCCAAAAAGCCCTTGGCGGTTAGGGTTAGTGATGATCTTGCTGCTATGGAACCCATTCATATTTGTTGGTGATACCTTTGATACCTTTAAAAAAAATCCTTTTAGATTCGGAGGACATCTGCATCGTGGAGCGACTGTTCTCCAGCAGTCTGGTGGCAGTGGTCAGCCTGTCGGCGCCCCGCAAACTCAAGGTCTGCCACTTCAAGAAGGGCACGGAGATCTGTAACTACAGCTACTCCAACACTATCCTAGCTGTCAAGCTCAACAGAAAGGTAGGTACAGTGGTAATACAGTGTGTCACTTTGCATTGCTTGCATCATTCTCAATGTGTTATGTGCCATGGGCTGTGTGCAGACCTGCAGATGACACTGTGTAGCCTACTCATAAGAACTATTTTAAGGTAGAGTATATCATTTCTCAATGGTGCGTTTTTAGCTACGGGATAGCAGCTCAACAAGTCCTCAAGTCTCTCTCTTAGTCCGTTACTTGCTGGTACTTGGTTGGGTTCCTCCTGAAACATCCTTTTGGGATCTTGGCTAGGAGGGAGTTAGTTAGTTAGTAAGTAATAAACATTGACATATTTTGACTGATTTCAACCAAACATTATCAAAAGTATCAGTAGCTCCAAGCCCCAACATGTATGACTGGGGTAAAAAACCTGATATTTTTGAACCAAAATTCGTCGGCCCTCAGCTTCTGAGACACTCTGATCGAGCTTGTTTTCTTTTGAAGCAACAAAAGTGCTCAAAATCTAAAGGCAGGTGCTTAACAACAACTTTAGCACTGAATGCTGTATAATCTGAGAAAACAATTTTCTAGGATCTCGGTTTCATTTCAAAAGTTGCTGAGTCTTGTTTTGAATTGTGCTCGAAATCAGAGTCCGGGACACATTTTCATTCAGCTGATTGCACCTACGCGATGTCACGCACGATTTTGAACTCGCATTTTTGTTGGTCCTATTTTCCGATTTGTTCCCCCCATAGGCCAGTTTCATTGGGCCTACCTGAAAACAGAGAATTGACCACATTGGAACACCAACTTTTCTCACAATTTTGGATGCTGAAGCAGCTGTGATGCATATACAGTTGACCTGCTGCCTATATGATGTCGCTGTTTCGCTCATGAATTTGAAACTATGCATCGACATAAACCACATCTCTCTCTGTTTTATTCAATTGTTTGTTGCTGCAGAGGCTTATTGTGGCACTGGAGGAGTCCCTCTACATCCACAACATCCGTGACATGAAGGTCCTACACACCATCCGGGACACCCCTCCCAATCCCCATGGCCTCTGCGCTCTCTCCGTCAGCAACGACAACTGCTACCTGGCTTACCCGGGCAGCAACCAGATCGGGGAGGTCCAGATCTTTGATACGGTCAACCTGCAGGCTGTCACCATGATCCCGGCCCACGATAGCCCCCTAGCCGCGTTGGCGTTTGACCACAGCGGGACCAAACTTGCCACGGCCTCGGAGAAGGTATGTACACATCCTGGGGTGTTCTAGCAGCTGTTTTTCTATTCATGTAGATAAGTGCCCATACCAGTTGTGCCATAGTACACTGTGCTCTGCTGTGTGAATAGGCACAGACAGTCAAAAAATCCATCCTCCTCCCCTGTCATGCCTTTATACACATCCTAGTCACCAACAGTCAGATCATATTTCTTGTAGGTACTGTGATATCCGAATTTCATCAACAGACAAAAGCAAGTTACCGGCTGGTACGGCTGGCTTATCAATCACCTACAGTCAAAGCAAAGCTGTATCAAATTGCATAACAGTCACAGTCAGTCAATCATGCTTTACAGTCACTCAATTGATTTTTACTGTTTGGATGGCATTTTTTTAATTTGCCAGCCAGAGAGGGAGGGTTAAGAGTTACTTTACTACACAAAACTCTTCACGTTTGTCCCTAATAACAATGGTTGTAAAATTTGAGTGAATTGTCATGTCAAAGGCATGTCCTTTAACCCTAAACCCTAGGCCATCTGGCTAGGATGCAACCTCAATCCTGCAAAATCCTCCAATTGCTACCAAGCAACAATTGGATTCAGCCTCAATCCTCCAAAATCGTCCGTTGTTTCTTGAATTTAGTTTGTGGAGGGTGACCACTGCCTCAATCCTCCAAAATCCTCTGCCAAATACTGCTATGGTTTGAGGCAGTGCGAATGGCGTTCAGAAGCAGTGCGGATGAAATACGAGAAAAACACAGGGCTGATTTATGCATGGCTGAACATAACCAATGCAGGATATGGCCTACTGGCTTAACATAATGCATCCTCCACAAAATAAGCCATACATCTTTGCCATTCATCCTCAATCCTCTAAAATCATCCAAAACCGGCAGGAGGATTTTGGAGAATTGAGGAGGGTTAGGGTCAACATGTCGAAAAATGTGCTCACGTTTTATAAGAGGACCAAATCATTAGAAACCATACATGTGACTTTCTTTGATAAGTTCCAATATGAGAATTTTACCATAAGTGAAACTGAGTTGTTCTCTTTGTTTTCAGGGCACAGTAATCAGGGTATTTTCCATCCCTGATGGCAAGAAGGTGTTTGAATTCCGACGAGGTGTCAAGAGGTATGTATAACATAAATATTTTAATATCAAGTGATTGTAACATTCAAATTCCTTTCACGTCCAAGAACAACAATTGTTCTAACTATCAGAAAAATGTCAAGAAAATTTTTTTGATGGTAGAATCAGACAATATCAACAAGTCAAATATTTTCAGCAGCCTTGGGCAACAGCCACAAACATATTTTGTCTTCCACAAAACAAGGGATAATTAAAATGTTACTTGAACAAATGGATATCCTCTTGTTATACAAACCAATGTGCATTGAAAAAGTCACTTAAACTGGGAACTATGATCGCTATCATTCACATTTCAGACATTTTGTCCCAAACAAAAGCATTTTAGACATTTCTGGTTCATAGTGCTACATTGTCACATAAATGTTGTTTAAAAAAAATTCATTTGCTTTTATACAGATGTGTCAGTATAAGCTCTCTAGCATTCAGCTCTGATTCCATGTTCCTGTGTGCGTCCAGTAACACAGAGACCGTCCACATCTTCAAGCTGGAGATACCCAAAGAAAAGTAAGTTATACAAATTGGGGGGGGGGGGGAACCTCCTTGTTCATTGCACGACTCACAGAATTGTTAGGATCAGATGAGCTTGAATGCTGGGAAACATTATAAAAAAACCGGCGCCATTCTACTCCGGAAATAACCAGGGCTGATCTAATTGTTAATCTGTGAAATGCCAATGCTAACATTTGAATGAGTTTTGATTTAGGATTTTAAATTACTGAATTATATAAGCATACTTGGGAGAGACTTGGAGATTCTTCTCCCAAGCCCTTGGATTGTACTGAACATGCAGTGCTTAAAAAATCCCCTCCCTGAAAAAAAACTGGGATGTGCATTTGCTTGTCAGTAGATAAGCTTGGTATCCAAGGATAAGAGTATGGCTGCCCAGCTGTGTAGTAATAGACTATTATCATGTTGCGATCATCTTGATTTTTTCCACTCAAATCAACGTCACCAGAGCGAGGCTGGAAGGACAAATAGTCTGGTTCCTTTTTGCGCAGAAAATGTTGTCATTCAGTACTGCTATTGGATACATGGAACATGACTGAAATGGTGGCAGCATGACAAAGGTCTATTATACCCACGCCACAAACAAAGGGCAATTGCTTTAGGGGAATCTGGAATTGTTTTGCAGGGTGTAATAGAGCAAGAGTTAATTGGATTATTTTTGACTCCCCCCCCCCTACAGATCCACAGAGGAGCCCACAAGTTGGATGGGGTACCTAGGCAAAGCCCTGATGACCCCAGCTAACTACCTCCCTTCCCAAGTCACTGAGGTCTTCAACCAGGGCAGGGCCTTTGCTACCGTCAAGCTACCCTTCTCTGGCCTCAAGAATGTCTGCGCTCTTGCCAAGTAAGTCTGCATGCTCTGCGGGAGCTCGGCATGCTTGTGATTGACTGGTGATTGACTTGTGATTGACTGGTGATTAACATGTGATTGACTTGCGATTGACTGGTGATTAACTTGTGATTGACTGGTGATTAACATGTGATTGACTTGTGATTGACTTGTGATTGACTTGTGATTGACTGGTGATTGACTGGTGATTGACTTGCGATTGACTGGTGATTAACTTGTGATTGACTTGCGATTGACTGGTGATTGACTGGTGATTAACTGGTGATTAACATGTGATTGACTTGTGATTGACTTGTGATTGACTTGTGATTGACTTGTGATTTACTGGTGATAGACTGGTGATAGACTTGTGATTGACTTGTGATTGACTTGTGATTGACTTGTGATTGACTTGTGATTGACTTGTGATTGACTTGTGATTGACTTGTGATTGACTTGCGATTGACTTGCGATTGACTTGTGATTGACTTGTGATTGACTTGTGATTGACTTGTGATTGACTTGTGATTGACTTGTGATTGACTTGTGATTGACTTGTGATTGACTTGTGATTGACATGTGATTGACTTGTGATTGACTTGTGATTAACTTGTGATTGACTTTTGATGGACTTGTGATTGACTTGTGATTGACTTGTTATTGACTTGCGATTGACTTGTGATTGACTTGTGATTGACTTGTGATTGACTTGTGATTGACTTGTGATTGACTTGTGATTGACTTGTGATTGACTTGTTATTGACTTGCGATTGACTTTTGATGGACTTGTGATTGACTTGTGATTGACTTGCGATTGACTTTTGATGGACTTGTGATTGACTTGTGATTGACTTATGATTGACTTGTGATTGACTTGTGATTGACGTGTGATTTACTGATGATTGACTTGTGATTGACTTGTGATTGACTTAATTGCAACTTTGGTCTCCACCAACACTGCTGGCATGGACTTATCAACTTTTACATAAAAGCTTGTCAGGAAATGCAAAGAATTACGGGGACGCCTTTCTGTACTGACACATATCCTACTGATGATCTTATTCATGGGCTCAATATTGGCTGGATGACGTCCTAGAGTCATCGTAAAGATTTCAATTTGTCTTCTCAAAGCGACATTTATTTGCAGTGTAGCAATTTCACCGAAGAGTTTGATGGAACTTTTCCTCTCTCTTCTTGCAGTATATCTAAGCCTAGAGTTCTCGTCGCAGCAGCCGATGGCTTTTTGTACATATACAACCTAGATCCAGTGGACGGAGGTGACTGTACGCTTCTCAAGCAACACAGGTATAATATGTCTGAACATTTTTAGAAACACATTCTTTTAAAATGTTGTATTTTTTAAGTCACAGTAAATAGATTGCTGTTTTCAATCATAAAATTGAATTGAATGCCTACATTTCGGTGCCACAAAGTCAGCATTGCCATTGTAGGCAAATATTGTATAGCACTGCACGCAGTAGGTATTACACAAGCTTTCAAAACACAGAGCCAACACCCAACAGTAAAATAGGTACCTGATTCGCTCAGGGAAGGTAAGACGGCGAGAGGAGAGGACTGGGCACCGCCACTCATATGCCGCGCCCAATAGTGGACCTCTAACATCCCACTGCCCCTACGGCCAGTAATGGCTATGGGACCTTTACTTTAGCCAACACCAAGTGCTGGGTCGGTCTGATTATGATAATCTTACATGGCACAGGTAGTGACCATTATGCCATTTGATGAAGGATTTGCACTTTTGCAGTTGTTTTGCGTAAAAGTAAGCCATACTCTGTAGTTTACAACACACAACATGGTTGTTAATCAAATGCTTGCCTACTGCAGTGGCGGCCGATCGTAGGAAAACCGGGTTGTAACACAGTTCTTTGAGGTCATACGATCGGAACCTGTTCATTCAGATTAATGTGAGAATTAAATGAGTTGGGCATTTTCAATGTAACTTTTCAGGCTGGATGGTCAAGTAGAAGGGGCCGAGGGCGGCCATCTTGCAGGCGGTGTCAGCGGTGGGATCGCCTCAGGACAAGCAGCAGCATCAGCAGCAGCATCAGACCAACCAGCTAGCAGCAGCAGGCCATACTCTGGGGCAGCGTCATTCGCAGCAGCAGCTGCCGCTGTGCCCAGGCAGGAACCACTGTCCACATCGCCGCACCGATCACCTGCTAGAGGTAGGCCACAAACTTCCTCTTCTTATCTCTCTGGTGCAATTTTAGTTTGCATTTTGAATGTCGCATCATCAGCTGTCAGTATATGTTGCATCCTTTTTGATACTACAATGTATGGGCTGAGATCCTGAAGGGATTGGAGGTCATTTCTCAAAATAATTTATTGGTGTGTGCTCAGATCTTATTTCAGAGTACGCCAGTTTTAGCAACACTTTCCAGCTGTGTTGAATATTGCTCTTCCTTCAATAATGTCAAGCTAATCGTTTGAAAGTAATTCCATTTATAAGCAACACAATGTACATCCTGGTGATCTCCCACCCCTGCTCTTTCAATTCCAACACTACTGTTGACACCTCCCTCCAATTTTGACCAGCAAGTGTTGCTGCAGCTATAATTGATTGATTGAATTGTCTCATGTCAAGTTTCTAAAAGCATTTACAATATTTATGTCAAACAATTATAAGAAAACCAAACCATTGAATTCTCTCTTGTGTGAGAGTGCGTGTGTACATACATACTGGAATTTGTATCCTTGTGGAGTCATTTTTTTATTCTTGTGTACTAAAAGTTTAGAGTTTGAAATCTAGTTTCACAATGCTCCTACTTTAACCAAAATTACTCTCCTGGGCTGAAATTTGGACTTATATCCCTTACATAAAATACTTCAGTTTGCAACGGATCACCCCACTTTGGAAATTCCTAGTTTCTGAACAAAATGCATCTATTTTCGTGAAAACCTTGTGGAGACATATTCACCTATAGAAATTGCCCTGTGAAGACATACAAACTGTTTTTCTCCGATTATACACATGTCTCTATAAGGTAGTGAATTACAAAACAAAGGCTCTGCAAGGAACGTATTTTTACCCTTGAATCTCAAAGGCAGAGGGTATTTGATGTGTAGTAGTGACTTTGATTTGTAGTAGTGAAACGGTGCTGCAGTTTATAACCATTCTAACTCCGTCGATTTTCTGCAGTCTTTGCACCAAGCCAAAGGTGTCTCATGTGTTAATAGTCATGTCAAAAAAATGCAATGCTCAATATCACTGTCAGTCAACAATAATTAAATTCAACCAGAAGTTATAATTGAATGGATATGTATGTGTTTCTGTTTACAGGCAGCCCAGCTAGGCAGGCCCATGATGCGGGCACCAGTGATCTCCTAGGCGCAGCTGCTGAGGAACCCAATCCCTACGACCCCCAGACCGGACTGAACACGCTCAGACTCGACGACGATAATGAATTTCCTCCAATGACGCACCACACCGAAACGTCCTAGCCCCTCGCGATCATGTTTCCCTGCTGACCACTGCCAATAGCAGGTATGTGCAGGCAGTGAGGTATCGTGGGATTGGTAATGTCATAGTCGACCAGTCCATGGCATGGTTTACATTATGAGAGATTGGGTACCACACCCTGACTAATCAGCAGTCCGGGTACCATAAGCCGTGTCCGAATTCCATGGCATGGCTATGGCTTGAAATTACACACGAGTCTATGGCAAGTGGCTGCAGCGGCTACCATAGACACGTGGGCAATAACAAGCCGTAAGCAAGGAAATCGAACACGGTCTAACTTACAAGAGGACAATAAACCAGAAGCTGGTAGCTTTGTCAAGCACAGAAATGTTCTAAGCACAGAGCATACTTGTTAAGCAAAAAAGGGTTACCAGCCAAGAAGTCGTGTGAAGCATATTGCTTGTGACTGATTCTCGCTTAATTTTTTTGCCAAGCGCATAAATTTGCACGCAGGATTTTTAGCTGAGAATTTCCTGGAAACTTGGCCAAGGTTGCTTTTTTTGTTATCAAAGGTGTCTTCTCGCAGTGCTTGCACATACTTGCAACCATCCTGATTACCCCCAAATCCACAACTGTGCTGTTAGTCAATTTTTTTATCTTCACGCAAACTTGAATTCTCAATCTTAATTCATCAATCATGACGTCAAAAGTGTCCATGTAGCACTCCATGTATGCTCACACTGTTCCTGTCCCAGGCACATGTAATAGGATAACTGCTGAAAAGTTTGCACAACACAAGTGTTCAGTCTTAACTGTGGGTCAAGTTTGCTTGAAGATAAATTCGTTATCCCACTTTTGCTCATGCAACACAGAAAATCCCATCATTTGATTGGTAGCTCGTTGATCACACGTCATTGAATTATTCGTCTCAACCCAGAGCCCGGTTGCACTGAAAAAATAGAAGTTCTATTCCACAGTAAATAGAAGTTCCATTGCACGGCCGGTCACACGATTGGTGGCTCTGACCAATCAGATGATGAGGACTAAACACTGAATGTTTGTGAGTGCAATGGAAAGAATAATTTCATTCAGTGACAGATGGAATGTTCCATTCCAATCGGCTTCTCCTTGTAGAATGGAACATTCCATGTGTTATCACATGAAATTACTCTTACCATTGCACTCATAAACATCTTTTTTTTGCTGTATAATGTACAGGCATCATCAGGCATCGAACCCATATAAAGTAACAGTGGCTGAAGCTTTAACTTCCTCAATCCTGCAAAATCGTCCTGAAACCTTCAAGTCGATTTGGAAGGATGTCGGATGGTAATGGTTATTGTGTAAAGAAGGGATGTTCATAATTGTTGAGAAAATTGTCACGCCTTGTAATTGGACAACATGATGAAAGGTCTTTTTAAGCATGGAATCTAAAAGCTGTTGTCTTTTGTAAAAGTCAGCAGTGTGTTCATATCCATGATTGTCGTTGGATTTTTTAAAGGCAACTTATTTTGCGTATTGATGGCACGTGCTATGGGTTCTTGACAGCATGGTAGTTCCTGTGTCTGCTAGTGTTGCTGCAATTCCAAATAAAAATCAGTGGTACAGTATATCTTACTTGTTCTGTGAAGGCAGAGTACAAATTAATTGTGAAAAGGACATTTGACAGTACAAGATTGTCTCAGTATGGGTTCAGTCCAACAAGAGAAGGCGCTTTTTTACCAGTTTCGAGAGCTGCGTGGACGGGACACACTGCGTGCATGTACCGGATCGTGCGGGCGCGCATACAGCGCGAAGTACACACGACTTATTTTATTCTGCATGTGCACATAGCATAGCATCTTCGTGTGAGCCACAGGCGTCTTTTGCATTGGCACAAATGTCTTTCTTAGTGGTCTCCCCCAACTCTCCCTTTCTTACCCTTGAGGGGGTACTTGTGCACGGAGCCCATATGAGCAATGAATTTCAGATGCTGACACTTCAGTTGACAGACCCTTTTCAAGGATTCGCCATCTTGGATTAATTTCACTTGTCTTGTTTCATAATGTCGTGTCTCTCTGGGGAAAAATAGAATATCATTACAATTGTTTGCCATTTGAGAGATCATGCGATTTTCAAAATAAATCCAATATGGCGATATCCTTGAATTGTGCCATGCCCCCACTACATGCACAATGCTAGTCATGCAATATATTTCTGCACTCGCTAATATGCTGGCGCTGCTTTTGTCAAAACCACTTTTTGTATCCACCCGGGTTTCTTGTGTATCGCTGTTTTTTGAGCGACGATGGTGTACAAAATACAGTCAACAGATTAACGGAGGAACTTGTACAAAGTTTTTAATGCTAAACTTGAAAGCTAGCAGTGTGGAAAAAAAAAATTTGTTTCCGTCTTGCAATGATTTTTTTCCAAGTTGTTCATTGGAACAAAATTAATGTTTTATCACTTATCTTATATAAATACAAAAAAAGTATCTTTGATTTGGTGATAAGATTCTTTGAGGTACCTCTGATGTGTATTACCTTTTACAAATTTAAAATTTATTGAGAGATTAGTAAATTTATTAACAAGTACTCAGTAGCTGATAGATTAGATGTGCTCTTTGCTCTAAAAGGAATTTTAAAGTTTTTTTTTTTAATGGATGTTAACTTTGAATTATTGTCTTCTTGGCATTTATTTGATTGTTTGAAGTAAAAAAAAAACAAGCACAGCACAGTCCGATGGCTGGAATTGCAGTATTACAAATTTCATTGAGAAATTATTTCGTCTTCTCAAAAGGCATTTTGAATCTCTATTAACTGTGACACAGCATGTAGTTTGTTTTACATGGAAACTGAAAATGTGCTTACAACTAAAGCTGAAAATAGAAAAAGGAATAAATTGTTCTGCGAATATTCGTCCAGCTTGGAGTTGAACAGCTGGATTGGATTGAAGAAGCAGTGTCTCCGTCTGTATTCCTTTTGTGAACTCGCGTTAAATTTGTCACTTTCTTCATTTTGAATATTGGCGCAGCATGCTAGCTGGGTGGAGTCATTATACTAATGTATTACTTTGACCTCAATTTGCATGTTGACCCCAAGTAGGCGTGGTAAACCTTGGTGAAGCAATTTGGCCACATTTTTTCATCATGGACGAAATGTTTTTGAATGTTTTCATAGAGATAATGTAATATTTAACTATTGAAAGTCTCAAGGCAGCAAAGTTGCCAAAAAGGCAAAAAATAAAACAAAAATAAATCTTTTTTTTTTCATATGCCAACCCTGACTTCAGAGAGGGGAAATCGGAGCTTATATACAACCATGAGCTTTAAGATGTAACTAAGCCATTAACCCTTACATTTTGTGCTTCCGCATATAGGCCTTTTACAAAAAAAATTGACACACAGACATCAAACAGACAGACCGCCCAACATACAGCATAGGATCTTTTAATATAGGATATGTTTTTAGGCAAACTTGAAAAAACTTCTACTCGGAGAAAAGTTGAAGTCTTGTTTTCACAACATGGATCTCAAGTACTTTTTCGACTGGTGAGTTTTAATGATAACAAGGTGCCGTTTTAGTACGCATTACTTTTGTATCTAAACATGGAGGAAGGAACACATGATCAGTCTCATTTTTCTCTCAAGTTATGTTTACACTTCACATTACAACTCTTGGTGGCGCTATTTGTCATCACCGTAAAATCAAAAGATAGTCAACAGGCGCGGCGCAGGAGGAAACCGAGCTTCGACTTGCCAAAGTGATGCAGAAAGTATGACTAAAACTAGAAGTACATTGTAGTGTGAAATATTTTGTTGAGAAATAGAATTGAGTGGTTCAGTGAATTATGTTTGTTGCCCACAAAACCAGTGACTGTTGGGAGTCTTTAATTAAGGAGTAAAACATTCCAAATTTTGGCCTATTCCTTCCTCCATGATGTAGGAAAGCAGAGCGCCCTCACTGCACAGTAGGCCTACTGCTAGCCCCATAAATGTGGCCTATTTACTGGACTGCCTCCGTAAACATAGGCCACACATCCACATGTACAAAAATCGTGTCGACGGAGCCAAATTTTGATTTTCACATTTAGGCTTAGTTTGTAGGTTTTTTTTGCTTTAGAAGCATACTCACCCTCTTTACAGGCTAATCAGAAAGTGCTGCCTTTTTCAGATGTCTAATTTTTGTGAAATTTCATGTTGAAATTTTGATACGCAATTAAACGTGTAAAAATGAATCTGGAAATTTCACGAAAAATATACATCTGAAAAAGGCAGCACTTTCTGATTAGCCTATAAAGAGGGTGAGTATGCTTCTAAAGCAAAAAAACCCTACAAACTAAGCCTAAATGTGAAAATCAAAATTTGGCTCCGTCGACACGATTTTTGTACATGTGGATGTGTGGCCTATGTTTACGGAGGCAGTCCAGTAAATAGGCCACATTTATGGGGCTAGCCTACTGCTAGCCCCATAAATGTGGCCAATTTACTGGACTACCTCCGTAAATGCCTTTTTTAGATACTGTCTAATTTTCGTGAAATTTCATGTTGAAATTTTGATACGCAAACGTGTAAAAACAAATCTGGAAATTTCACAAAAATAGACATCTGAAAAAGGCAGCACTTTCTGATTAGCCTATAAAGAGGGTGGAATATGCTTCTAAAGCAAAAACTACAAACTAGTAGGCCTAAGCCTAAATGTGAAATTAATCAAAATTTGACAAAGTTCGACATGTTTTTGTACATGGTGTAAGTGTGGCCTTTATTTCGGAGGAAGTCCAGTAAAATGGCCACATTTATGGGGCTAGCCTACTGCCAGTCAGCCAGTAGCATTGTTGATATGTCATTGTGGAGTTGTCAGAGTGGGATAGGTTACCATCATTGGTTGCATTGAGTTGGTACTTTGGTAGAATGCAGAAATCTAGTATTTAGTACTAATCTAGTATCTTTTTAACTTTTCCCCACAAACTTGACAAAGGCATAAGGCGAAGTAAAAAAAAAATCATGTTTCTCGTCCCCGCCTGCTTCCTTTTTGGAGGCCGCCTGGATTTTTAAATTATTTTTTGTTTTTGAAAAATGCACTAAAAAAACACTGAAAAAGTCCACAGTTAAACTAAAGCAAATGCATTGAAAACTGTTCATTGTAGACCAATACAACTCTAGGCCTAAATGACACTTTAAATATGTCCAGTTCTCTTGTCCAACTTGTCTTTCATATTAAAAGTGTCTTTGAACAATGGAAACACCAACGGTTGCAGGAAATTTTAACATGGTGGCCATCTTGAAAAAAATTAAAAATACAAAATAAAAAGCCCCTCTTCCTCCATTTTTTTTCACAAACCCGGACGAGAAACATTTTTTTTTTTATTCGGCCTAGGGCCTTCATATAAGGCCCAAAAAAAAAAATAAGTCGGTCTCTGGTCAGCGCGCGCGTCGATTTTAATCATGCGCGTCGATCTTTTTTTTCCCAAAATGTTCCGCGGTAGCTCCAACAGCGCCCTCTATTTCCGCACCTCCTCAATTTATTTTACCAAAGAGCACCAAGGAATGGGAAATTGCACCAAGGCAAATGATCGAAAGCACCAAGGCAAATTATGGAGGACACCAATGTACATGAGGACACCAAAAAAGCAAAATAGTACCCCACGTTGTCTGTGCAATCCAAGCTTGAAGAAGAAAAAAAAAAATAAAAAAAAAAATAAAAAGCCGCGTGGCCGCGTCAGTTCCGGAACTTTGGTCTGACCAGAGACCGAATATTTTCTTTTTTTGGCCTTACAGATACTTCAAAAGAGAGACGTAACGCACACCCCTATAGGACTGGGAGGAATCGGTGACCGGTGAATGTAATTTGTGTACCGCTGCTGTTTTTATGCCTAGCTTTGACACATAATCCGACTGTGCGGACTCCCCATCCCTTGCCATCATGATGAGGGTCTTCTTTCCTGACTATGCTGTCAGTGCCAAGAGTGGTCTATGCATCGGCTGGGTGGATCATCAGACTCATACCATCTGTGTCCTGGCCGTGGTTCACCTTCCTGTTGATCCATTTGAAATCAGGAGACAGTTAAAGGTGCGTAAAATTCCACAGTCCAGATATTGAACTTTTAGTACTTACTGTGTATTGAGAGTCCCAAAACCTAATTAAGGCATATCCTTTGATTTTTTAAACAGATGGCTGGCTATATGGCATAAAAAAAACACCCCAAAATACGTTGTAATAAAATTGTATAAAATGTGAGCTGAGGCCTCAAACTTGATGATGGAACACTTGGGACTTCATTGATGCCTCAGAAAAAAAATGAAGAATGTTGTTAAAATTGACAGAGAGGATTTGACGTTATGATCCAAGAAACTAAAGTTTTACAGAAGCAAAAACTTTGCCAACATGCATGAAATTCAGCTGAGATTGAAATATCAGGCTTTCCTATAAATAGTTAACAGTTCAAAGACATTCTTTTGAGGCAGTTTATAGCTGCTTTTTGCCCCCTCTACTTGCAGATGATGACAAGCATCCGACACCAACCTTTGACTATACTCGGCCCATTAACCTACCTGAGGGACCCTGACAGGATCAAGATACAGCAGCTCTGCCAGCAAGTTTCCCAGGACCTCTGCCTAGAACTCACCCGACCAGACCTCTACAGCTTACCCACATGCACGTTGTACAAAGATGGTCAGGCCTTGATGCAAGACCACCACTTCATCCTGTACAACCAGAGGAAGATATATGCCTGCTGTCTGCCGGGTAGGAATGATGCAACGGACACACCGTCCAACTCGGAAACGACTACCGATCAGTACAGTCCAACTGCTTGTGGTGATAGTGGATGTGGGACAGACCAGTACGGGCGAACGGTTCTCAAGATTGAAACAGTTTTGTCGATCATCCAAGGAGGGGTGCGACAGTTATGGACATTGACAGACTGGGACATTTCCTCGGATGTTAAGAGGAAAAGCAACAAGTCGTCAGTTATTCATTGGATTGTCTCATTCTTTGTGTCAGTCTTGGTTTCCATGGCAACAGTTTCCCTGCTGCCCTTCCGGAGCGACTTTTGTTGCAGGTAATTTTCATGATTTGGAAAGGAAACTCACTGCCCCAGTTATTTTACAAGCCCTCTGTGCAGACCTCTGAATCAATTTACGCCAAATTGGTGTTTTATGTAACCATAACACTCCCACAATCCTTATAAGCCATTCAGAGGTTTTGTGGGATTTTGTAAGGGAAGAGGAAGACACTTAGGGCCCAGTCATATTTACTTTACACTGGGCTTGATGCCCTTTGAAAGTTCAAGTTACAAAAATATGCTACATACATAGGTGCCTAAACTGATACTGTATCTGATACTGATACTTTATTGGTCTCCAGAAAAAAAATATGGAGAAATTCGTCTTATGTACACTGCCAAAGTTAAAACACAGAAAAATACAGTACACAGAATCCATATTAAAAAATATAACTAAATGCAAGTTTAGTACAACAGTGGAGGATCCAAAAATGTACTGGGAGTTCAGGTAAATCCCCTAATGGTTCCCATAAAAAAATATCTTTCAAAAGTAGGAAAGTGTTTCCCTTTTGGTTATTTAGGTAGTGAGCAAAATGATCTTTAATTTATCCTCATAACTGCACTCTTCTTCTGTACTGCAAATCACTCTTAAGTTTTTAACATTCTGTTCAGAAAATCAAATTCAGTTCCAAGTTCAGCAAAATATATGTGTGCTACCCCTCCACCAGCTGCAGCCAAACCCTTGTTTTTTTTACAGGCTATCGAGAAGTTCAGTTTTCCAGAGAGTTCTGAGATTCACGCAGACTGGTTGTCAGATACAGGCCAAGTACAATCACCTACAGGAGTTGTTAGATGCACACAGTGCTGATGGGTCTGACATACACAGAGTTAGAAGGCAAGGAGCAGAACAGACCGAATCTCAAACCAGATGTGAATATCTGAGGTGAGACCTACCAATCAGGTTAAATTCACATGTATGCTTTCTTGGATTAACCCCAACCCCTTAGGCATTTCCTTGTTTTGATAGAATTTTTATTGTTTGTATTTGCTGAAACCTTCGCTAAAACCATTTCCTTTTTTTTAAACCAAAGTTGTTCATGAAAATTAGAAGCCGTTACAGTGAGATAAATTATGTGCACAGTTTTGTGCATCAGCATTACACGTAATTGAATGTGCTGTTTATTGCAACAGCCCAAAAATCCTCCAGTAACATCAAATACTTACAACAGGCAGAACATGTCTTCAATTTGACCTCGGTTTTCTTCTTGTGCCTGTTTTGCTCAGAAAGACCCTCTGATAAAATGCAAATATAAGAAGTTAATTTGTTTTTAAATTGTGATGTTCTGAATTTTGATTCTGCAAGGACCCGTAACCTGTGGACATACCTTCTGATAGACATGCTGGTTGGCGTGCTTCTGATGTGGTGGATACAGCGCAACAACTGGCCCGACGCGTGGGCAGAGTGGATCATATCCTCGGCCACTGTAAGTTCTTTCCTTTACCCCTAAATGCTCAGGGTGTGTGACAAATCATAGTACAGTTGGAGGATTCAGGACAGTAAGGGTTCGTCAATCAGTCTTATCATTGGTTTAAACAATCTTGGTTGTGAAATTTGGTCAGCGAGGCTGTTATGGTGTAATTGTAAGTTAGTAAAATATACTACAATAGTCTATGGGCATTAGTTTGGGAGACCATCGCAATTTGAATTCGAACGTATTCGCGCGCCGACGACGCTCACGCGAAGACGCCCACGCGAAGACGCTCACGCGAAGACGCCCACGCGAAGACGCCCACGCGAAGACGCCCACGCGAAGACGCCCACGCGAAGACGCCCACGCGAAGACGCCCACGCGAAGACGCCCACGCGAAGACGCCCACGCGAAGACGCCCACGCGAAGACGCCCACGCGAAGACGCCCACGCGAAGACGCCCACGCGAAGACGCCCACGCGAAGACGCCCACGCGAAGACGCCCACGCGAAGACGCCCACGCGAAGACGCCCACGCGAAGACGCCCACGCGAAGACGCCCACGCGAAGACGCCCACGCGAAGACGCCCACGCGAAGACGCCCACGCGAAGACGCCCACGCGAAGACGCCCACGCGAAGACGCCCACGCGAAGACGCCCACGCGAAGACGCCCACGCGAAGACGCCCACGCGAAGACGCCCACGCGAAGACGCCCACGCGAAGACGCCCACGCGAAGACGCCCACGCGAAGACGCCCACGCGAAGACGCTGTGGCTAATCTTTGGCACATTTAGGAAGTCGTTCAGACTTCGCATGCGAATGAGTATGCCATAGTACGCACACGCTGTTCGCGGTCCCGTCCATGGGGCTCTCACAAGTGGTAAAAACGTGTGCTCTTGCATTGGTGCACAGGGCCCATAGTGTCCTCGTTACACCTGCTGACTCATTGACTGACTGAATCAAACACTTTCGATCTCAGGCTGTGCTCCGTGGTCACATATGGGTCGATGTGGCTGGCAGCCATAGGCGCCTTTACGTGCCAGCGTCCTTCGCAATTCAGCATACCAGCTGCGAGTAAGGATGATTAGCCTCCCAAATTATTATTATTATTATCACTGTGGATTGTGAGCCGGGCAGTGCTTACCGTCCGGTCCATTGTGTACACCAGATGCTTGAAACATTTCCAGTCATATTCTGAATCAATTGAATAGAATTGTGTGTGCTGTGGGACCTGCTTTACTAGGATTGCCGTGTCTTTTTTATCAATATTTGGTTGAATAAAGAAAGTAGCAAGATTTGAACCTACATTCTGTGGAACAACACCATACTGACTGGCGCGCTACTGGTACCAACTGAGCTATCTAGCCCTGTGTTGACAGTATCAGAGTTTTGTCAATCTTTAATTTTTTAAAGATCCTTGCACAGCTGTGATCAAGTCATCACAAGTCAATTACTGGTCAACAAGTCATCTACAAGTCGTCTAGTCCAATATCAAGTGACAAGCTAAATGAACTACATGTATGACAAAAGACCTTAATTGTTCCATGGAGGTAGGAAAAGAATGAGTTAGCACAAGCATAGATCAAACAGGCCATGTCTCACGCCACGATCGATCAGATAACGACCGCAAAGTAAACACATTCCACGCTCAGCCTGTCGAAAACTGCAAAACCGCACGCGCATTGCATGTGGCTTACGGAGAACTGCCACTAAGTTTCGTTTTTCGACATCGCCCCCAAAAAGTGGTTTTTTTTTCAAAAGTGCTAAAGCATCGCTAAGTTACGATTCTGTCATCATTTGAAAGTGCTACGTTTCCGAAACATTTTATGTTATTTCTATTCACAGGGCATGGCAGGAAGATTTTTGTTGCGCATCCGAAAAACAAGACCCCAATGGCTCGCCTACGCTTGAAACCTACTGCGCATGTCCGAAATATATATTTCATTGTTGGATGGTAGGAAGTATGTACTCCAGTCAAGCTTCTTCGGAAGTGAATGGAGCTAGTGGTCGGCATCAGACATAGCGTTCAAGGGGATTACCGGCAGTCATTAAAATGCCAAGGCGCTGCGGAAGGTGCTAATTGTGCATTAAAACCAGGGGGATTTTCGTGCTAACTCCTTCTATTCCTACCTCCATGATTGTTCTTCTCTTGTTATTTGAATTTTGATCTTATTTGTGATTTGACTCATGATTGACTCATGATTGACTCATGATTGACTTATGATTTGACTGAAGTAAAACCCAAGAGTCTGAGCACAAATTAAGTAGTTGTGAGGATTTTTCATTTTCAAATATTGTAAGTGCTAATATTGAAACCAATATTTTGTCAGAAATCGCGTACTTACAATTTATGATTAACACATGTTGGGGTCTTGTTTCTTGTGACTAGACAACAGCCGGGTCACTGCAAACATTACTGCAATGGCTGATGGGAGCCCCTGCCGGCCTCAAGTTAAACAGCGCCCTCGCCCACTTCCTTGGTCAGTTCTTCCTGTATCACGTCTACCTTTGGATTGGTAAGTCATTATGTGAGTTTTTAGTCAAGTCTGTCTGGTCTGTCATAAGTCAAACGCAAGTCAAATCACATGGGTATGTTTGGATCTTAGGATTTTTTGGAATTTCACATTTATTTGTTCTTGGAATTCTTGGAATTTGTTTTTGTTTTTGGATCTTGGGAGATTGTGGCCTTGGGACTTTTTTTTGATTTATTTGGATCTTGGTTGTTTTAAGATCATTGGTTTATTTGATATTGCGATTCTTGCATTTTGGAATTTCAGATCTTTTGGTTCTTGTTATACGTCTTGGGATAATTGGATCGTGATATCTCGGGTTTCAATGATGCAATTGAAAAGAGAATGAACGATATTCGTTTTTTTTTTAGGCAAAGCATTGGAAGGAAAATTTAAAGTACCTCACCTCATATTCGAAGCGGCCAACCATATTATTTCAATCTTGTTCCCCAGGTTACCTGTCCATCATACAGCCTGTGCTTGGCTGGGCTATTTGGTGTATGTCTCTGACAGGGTGTCTGGGGGTGTCCGTCATCCTAGCTGTCGCCTCCGACACGGTGTCTATGTTGACATTCCATGTCTACTGCTTCTATGTCTATGCAGCAAGGTGAGACAGTTGTATGGTACTTCATGGATAAGTCCTTTTGTTTTCTTATATAAATGGACTCAATTTCAAGTCCATGACAAGTCAAATCACAAGTTGGGTCACAAGTTAACGGGATTGAAAAAGGCAAAGGAATGCCCTTGTCACAGTTTGTTCGGGTTGCATGTGACACAATTTGAGACTGAAGGAATATAACTAAAGGGCTTATAGATGTACTACATACAACTATGCACATAACAAATATCAGCGGTGATCCCTTTTACAAGCAGTATAAACCTTTGGTATTTTGGCCGATTTTTATTATCAAATAAACATTGTTATTTTATATCAGGTATTGAAACCAAAGATTCCTCCGAAGGCTGTAGAAACCTGTAGAGAGAGATAATGAAATGAAATTACAGTTGTAGAGGTTGGAGAAAAACCCTAGAAGAATATTCTGGGGAAAACCCACGGAATCAGGTAGGGACTGAAAACCCAAATCCACATGCGAACCAGGGCAGGAATTGAACCCAGGCCATAGTGGTGGAAGTCGAGGAAAGTACCCCCGCGCCAACCTGACTCCTGTACAGAGCAAATGTCTGTACTCGACCACCTCAATGAAATTGGCTCCAGCTGTGAAAGTATGGGCTTGTTTTGAACTCAAGAGACCCTTAAGTATATTTCTTCTGTGCGATATATTATCGAAACTATGTAAGGGTACAATTGTTCTGCTTTTCCCATAGCCAAAATCTGTTTAAGTTTGTAATTTACGGTGGCTCACTTTACTGACATCACTGCAACTTTTGTAATATACATTTTGGGCTATCCATCTTCATGCGTAGAATTTACCGTCTTCAGCTGACTGGCCTGCTGGCCCTCTGGCGACTCTTCCGAGGCAAGAAGTGGAACGTTCTCCGCAAGCGGATCGACACCTGCAACTATGATGTGGACCAGCTCTTCATCGGTACCCTGCTGTTCACCGTCTTGCTCTTCCTCTTGCCCACGACAATGCTGTTTTACGCTGTCTTTACTATGGTGGGTGGGGTTCAGTTTTTATTATTTGTCGGGACATACCACTTCAAATCTTATGATGTTCTTGAAATAATGTGTGTATGCCATTATGAATTTCATGGTGCAATTCTTAATGATTTTAAATCCCTGAAAAAGATAAAATTGAAAGTACCTCACTGTTTATGATGATTATTATGTGCCCTACAAGCATTCACCTGCATTTTTGTTTTTTTATTGGCAATTTCATGGCTTTCCATTTTCATTCCTAGTTTGCTAGTTTGTAATAACATCCTTTCAAACTACATTTTAGCATTAAATTTTAGTTTATCCAGCAAATTTTTCTGCTTAAGTTGTCCATAAAACCATTTTGTGAAGAGAGAAAAGAACCAACATGTACAATGACAATTCTTAGTAAACAGATGCAATATAATTTTAAATTTCTTCTGTTTATCACATTTTTGTTGGTGTATTTTCAGCATCGACTGGCGGTCATATTTCTGGAGGGTGTTTTGACCAAGACCATTGATCTTCTGAAATGGTTGCCTGTGTACTCCATTCTGCTGTGGCTGACCGGCTCTGATGTGCTCATGAGCGGTGTCTACTTTGACCTTCTGCAACAACCCGGGGAGGGTTGCCCAAGAGCATTGGTCATGCAGGTTGGTGTTGGGGACTGTATTGCGATGTTAGAGTCAAGTCCATCACAAGTCCTCACAAGTCAATCATAAGTCATTACAAGTCAATCACAAGTCATTACAAGTCAATCACAAGTCAATCATAAGTCATCACAAGTCAATCATAAATCATCACAAGTCAATCATAAGTCATCACACGTCTTCACAAGTCAACATAAGTCATCGCAAGTCCATCACAACTCATCGCAAGTCAATCATAAGTCATGACAAGTCTTCACAAGTGATCACAAGTCTTCACAAGTCAATCATAAGTCATCACAAGCCAGTCACAAGTCATCCAGTCCCAATTAAGTCGAGCCACAAGCTATTCAAATGCACTGCGAAAAATGCATTCCTTCTTCTATGGGTCATCTACGTTACTTGTGACTGGACTGTGACTGGAACTGCGTTGGACTTGTCATGGCCTCAACTACCTACAATACTGCTACAGAAGCTCAGTAACTCTGCACCAGAAACAAATGAATCAGTGCTAAACTTGGAATCGCAATCATGACTAGTTTTTGAGGAATGGATTCCCTGAATTTTAGTTGCCATCTTCAGTTCCACCAAAATTCGATTTCAGATATTGCACAGCAGATTATAATGTGGTATAGATCCGAGCACGCTGTCAATTCTATCCTGAAGGCCCCCTTCAATGGCGAAAGCATTGTGCTAGCTATTGTTCAGATAATCCATCCCAGGGCAGTTGCTTTGTACAATAGCTGACACAGTTGTTTCTCCATTGAAAGGGGCCTTGTGAGTGTACAATGATCAAGTGTTGGGATTTGTCTATATGGCTCGTCTCTGGGCTCTTGCTTCGTGCATATGTGAATGAGTAAATTGCTGGGATCCCTTTATATGATCGTGTTGTAAAGATGGATAACATCTTTTTATGCCCCGCGGCGAAGCCGAAGGGGCATACTGTTTCCGCCTTGTCCTTCCGTGGGTGTGTGGGTGGGTGGGTGGGTGAGCTTGTCTTACATACGCAGTGTGGACTTCCGAACAAAAGACGTCCACATAATGTAGGTAGCAGCGACGAAGTGTGGACTTGCCCACGTCCACACAGTGTTTCCCCATTTCTGGAAAACAGGTTTAGAGGCATTTTTGGGTTAGGTTTATCTGTAGCAGGATGAAGAGAAACACTAAAGGGAATCATTGAAAAAAAATTGGGTTGTAAGAGTTTTCACAGTTTGAGAAAAATGAGTTTTTCCACTGGTGTTCCTTAACTACACGAAAAGAAAGGAAAGTCCACACTAGGTATGTGAAACAAGTCTGGGTGGGTGGGTGGGTGGGTGTGTGGGTGTGTGTGTCCGGACAAATCTTGTCAGCGCGATAACTTGAGAAATACTTAACATATGAACTTCAAATTTGGTTTGTGGATTGTTCTTGGTAATCCTAAGAAGCCTTTTGCATTTGGGGCCGAAAGGTCAAGGGTCAAAGTCACAGTGGCTGAAACAATAGAAATTTTGTCAGCACGATAACTTGAGAAATACTTAACATATGAACTTCAAATTTGGTTTGTGGATTGTCCTTGGCAATCCTAAGAAGCCTTTTGCATTTGGGGCCAAAAGGTCAAGGGTCAAGGTCACAGTGGCTGAAACAATAGAAATTTTGTCAGCGCGATAACTTGAGAAATACTTTACATATGAACTTCAAATTTGGTTTGTGGATTGTCCTTGGCAATCCTAAGGAGCCAATCACATTGGGGGTCGAAAGGTCAAGGGTCAAGGTCACAGTGGCTAAAACAATAGAAATCTTGTATTTATTCTGAGATCATAGGGATTAGGGATTAATTCATATAAAACCTACAGAAGACACTAATGCTGTCAATGAACGTTCCATTTGACCAAGTTGATGTTAGAGTGGTGTTATGTCATGGAAACAGTCACGGTTGCGGGGCAACCGTTTTAAATTGTTTTAAATTATGATGACTATGCGTTACTGATTTACTACTATCATTCATTACTGTGGAGGTAAATTTTGAAGTTGTATCCAAACAAAATTGTTTCTCATGGATGAAAGCAGAAAGAATCCACCTTAAGTTGAAGATGCCCAGGCCTAGTTCTGAATTCCATTTTTTTGTTGAAATCTGGGGAAACAAATGTCCACAGATCAACCTGTCTATCGATTATAGGTAGTTGAAGCTCACTTTTCGAGGAGTTGTTTTCAGTTGTATGTGTGATATCTTCTGGGTAATAGTAATGCAGTGTCAAAGTATCAATATTCAGTATGAATTTAAGGTGAAGCAGACATTTATCAAGTTGTATTGTTTTGCTCACAGGTCCAACATATGAGTCTCTATGATGTCCTCCTTCTGTCTTACAACTCCTCCAAGAAGTCCTCCACCCAGCCTGAATTATCTGCATCAAGAAACCCTGTCATATCCCTCGCGTTGGATCTACTCACCGGTTGTCTTATTTACCCATGGAGCCTGGCACAGAACAAAACTTAGTCATTGGGTTTTCAGTTGAAATCAGTGTTTCTGTAAGAGACATTCTGAAATGGTTTTTAGTAAAGAATGTTATTTTTTCATGTGTCGCCAACCAAATGTAAGCATTTTTGAAATTATTCAGAGGTGCCTATTACTGTCCAATGTATTAAGGTGGACAGCTGGGGGGGGGGGGGGGGCTGATGGTCACAAGTTGCAATGCCACAAGTTTAAATGTTTCAAAGCATCAAATGCAAGAATGTTTCCTCATCTTGTAACAAAGTACAATGTTACAAGGGATGTTTATCCCACATGCATAGATACCTTAAAGACAGTTTACCCATTCCCAATGGTCGAGAGCCCGTCACGTGGCCGGTCTTAAACGGATGATCGAAAGACCGGTTGGCTGAGTGGTTGAACACTTTTCCAGTGTCACATGAAATTTGGACTCTATGAAATCTAGTGCCTTTTATCGTTTTATTGGTTGAACGTTCACAATCCTTACGCAGCCATGCGCAATACTACCAGTGAGTCAGTATTTCATCGTCCTAAATTCACAACGCACCATGACAGCTGCATTCTGCGCAACATTGCGCAGTATGCACTAATCTCCATAAAAGAAGTTGTTTACGGCTTACTCACCAGCTGGACACTCCATTATATAGCTAGAAGGATGTTTTGAAAAACGCGAAGGGAAATTGTTGAACAAAATCGTTGGAAGATTTTTAATTTTTGACTTGTGTTGACTTTTGGACCGAAAACTTTTGAATTTTTTGGTACAGGAGAGGTATTTATGAATAAATACCTGCTTGGTCGGTGTAAATATGTCGGGAATAAATATGTGCTTGGTTGGTATTAAATACTATGTTCAAGACTGGTTGGAGTCTGATGCTGATAATTACTCTTGCCTTTGGCTCGGGTAATTATCAGCATTCCGAACTCACGTTCTTCAACAGAGTGTTTTAAACCTTCGAAGCACACATTTATTCCCTACTGACATAACTAGGGAGCAGAATACTACAGGACCAATAGTCTTTGTTGGACATGATCTTTTCTTTTTTTATTTAGCTACTTATATTTTAAATGTACATGCATTAAGTGTAAGCAGCAATACATCAAGGTTATTTTTTGGCAAAAAAATAAATGATGCCAGTACCCTGTGAACAATGATTTCACGAAAAAGATGAAAACATTTTGTTGTATGTGTGTCTTTTTTTATTGAGAGTATGATGTGACATGATTTAAATGATTGCCCAAGTACTTGTTATTGTCCTTTAAATTAAATTATGCATATCTACGCATGGTTCAGTTTTTATGTAAGATTCTCGTGAGTGAGATCGATCATTTAAAAATTTCACAAGAAATATTCCAACTAAAGTTTAAGCCAGTTAACCACAAGTACCAATGGGAGGAACTGATAAAAACTAACCATTTGGAAACCTACTAATTATATAAGGTATTATTAGGTATTCATAAACAATGCCCCATATTAAAAGCGTAAGATTGCTTAAGTATAAGCATCCCCTTTTTCAGTGTGTACATGCTCCGCCCATTTAATCATTGGCTTAGCAGCAGTCCCGAGAGAGGGCGCTGTATTACACAGATGACATAATGGCGGCCAACGTAAAAGGCAAAATCACGGGCAACGTTCCGATGGACGAAGGCACGGAGGATGGGAATACGGCTCAGGCGGGGGGCACTCATGAGGAGTTCACGGAGGCAGAAGAGGCCAAAGGACTTATCAACAGTTTGACGACCATTTACAATGAGCAAATAGCCGTGGAGCTAGCAGTGGAAAGTTTCACTGGTCGGTAATTTTTAATTTATGTGAAATTTTCCATTGACCAGTTATGATATGGCTTAGCCTACACGTTGCCCAATCCTTAAAATTTAATCATGCACTGATGCAGATATTTGCGTTAAAATAAAATCTTTAACATGCCAGAAAAAGTGCCATGATCTAATATTTGCAAGATTTACTAGCATGACCACTAGTCTAGAGCATGTAGAGTCTCCAGATTGTTTGACATAAAGTTAATTTAATTGTTGTTGAGGTTGCCATGGTAACTATGGTTGTCAGACTTCCCCCCGCCCCCATCCTTCAAAGACAAAGGCACAAGTTGCACAACCGATGGGGCCGCTGTTGAAAACCGACAATTATGCACACTAATGGACAATATATGGTGCTTTTCAGGCCTCAGTCAGGGCGATACATAAGTGAAATAAAAAGAAGGCAACCGGAACGGACGATGAAACAAGGGTATTTGAATGGAAAAGGGCAATCTTTAGAAAATATTGGGGGGGGGGGGGAGGGGTCAATAACCCTCTAAGGGTCATTCTGTGTCAATTCAACACGATTTTGGACCGGACCTTCACAGATATGAAATGGTATTTGGTGTGATGATTGGCCTGTATGAGAACCCCCAAAACTGATTTTTTGTTGTTGTAAATTGGCTCGTTAGTTTTTGAGATACGGGTCAACAAACTTTTGACTAATTAGCATGACCTCCGAACTTTCAATACTTGTACCTCAAAATCTATAGCGCCTACAAAGCCAAGTTGTACATCATATTGAAGCTCTTTGAATAGCATGTCTAGGGAAAAAAAACCTAATTTGCATATATTTACACATGTACTTGAACATACAGCAAGTGCACGTTGACCTGTAAATACATATACTTGTCCTTGACAGCCCTAATGTTATGTTTCAAATGTTTATATGCAGCATCTTGCTAGCTTTAGATAGTGGTGTAACTGGGGGAGGGGGTGTCATTGGTGGGGGCACGTGTCCCCCACTGGATGTCCATATCCCCCGGTGGCCCCCCCCCCCCCATCAGTGTGAACAGTTTGAGCTGGGTGTCACCATGTTGGTTGTTCATTGAATGTGATTAGAACTTGCCAATCATATTTTGAAAGCAAAGCGTGCAATATTAGAGACTGTAGGGTTAAACTCCGGGGGTAATGGTCAATGTGCACCATGCAGTACGTGTATGTACATTTGTATTTATATGCAAATTAGGTTTTTTTCCTGGACATGTTAATGCACTGTGTTGCGTCCGGCAGGGTTAGGGATAAGCTTTAAAATGTTTTTTTTTCCAATTTGTCCTACTTCTTGTGTCATGTGTACGAATAGGCTTATGTGAATGATGACCATTCAATTTTGTAAGGATATTGAGGAAAATTAGGTGTTTCACGGTAACTTATATGCGCCATCTTTTCCACAGGGCAAAAACAACACGCATTGCTACATGCGGGCGCATTTTGGAATGACCACATGATGACTTGAAAACGCCAAAGTTTTCCATTGACGATGGGTGCACAGCAAAGTGTGTAAAATTGCCCCGTCGACAAGATTGACGCATATTACCGTGAAACACCTTATTATATGACTGCTTCAATGTTAAGTTTGTATAAACTTCAACTTGTCTCCTTTTTTTCGGTCTCGTTTTCAGTAATTGTTGACAAGTACCAGGAGCAACCTCACCTGATGGACCCTCACCTTGAAGGCATGTTACTCCCCTTGCTAGACATCGCCAGGAACCCAGCATGTGAACCCCCACTGTCCCACCTCGCATTCAAGTTTCTCTATCTGCTAACCAAGGTGAGCAGGCAACAAGGCAAAAATGTTATCAAAAGAAAAAAACTCAGTAAGGCCCAAAAAAACAGTCTCCGGTTTCTGGTATGCGCGCGCGTCGCCGTAGCCATGTGCGTCGGCAACATGAAATTTTTTTTTTCAATGAAAGATGATGTCTCAAAACCGCCAAACTCACTGGTTTGACTGGAATCCTGCTGCTGCACAATTTTAACGTGTTTTTAGATTGGGTTATGGTCGAGAATAAGGTTTATGTGGCCTCTTTGGACTCCCATATATTTGCACTAAGTTTAGTCGGGCACCATTTGCAGTCATCAGCCGACATTTGAAGCAAAAAAATCGGGTACAAAAAAAAAAAAGCCGCGTCGCCGCACCACTTTTTGGGCAAGCTCCATACCAGAAACCGGAGACTTTTTTTTTTGGCCTAAGAGTGATTCTATCGACTCCTTGCAAAAACAGTAGACAACGCTTTGTGACCACTTTTAAATTCTCTAGTGGCAAGGATACCAGTGACTCGATCCCAAGGACACATTAATATTCCAAGGTACATTGCTTAATTTGTCAAACCAGAATCAAAAAAAGGTCAACAAGACTATTGACCATTTTGTCATTGTGATGTTTTTGTAAACAATGCTCTAAAAAATAAGGCAACTAACTGGTTATCACTTTTTAAAAAACCCAATAAGGTAAGAGTGTTTTGTGACTTAACACCGTTTTACCGTTTTACAAAACTGTAAAACAGTAAAACGGTCAATGGTTCGTTTACTGTTTTTGTTTTTGAGGACATCCAAAATGGTAAAACAAAAAAAGGTATGTACTGGGATTGTTACTTGTGCACAGGAGCAGTTCATGTGTTAAGAAACTCAGTTTGATTGTGTGTTGTCTGGATAAAAAAAATCGTCTCATAAACCCTGATATCTTTTTACCTGGTTTTGCAGTAATTGATGGATTCAAGACTGCAGCCAAGCCACTCTATCTTAACACAGGGCTTGATCCTCAAATGTGACCTGTTCTGTCAAAATCAGACTTTCCTGGGCATGGGTGGTTTAATTTTTGAAACCGGTCATTCCTGGGCAGAGTTATGCTATTTTGAAGTTCATTGTGTCGAAAAGTAGAAAACGGAGAAAATGGCCACGAACATCACAAAACAGTTATTTCTTTAACTGATATACCTTATCAAAATCATCAAAAATAGTATATGTAGAGTTCAAATTAGGGTTTCAAACTTTTATAATATATTTTAGACATGTTCAGGATTACAAATATGCAAAAATTTGAAAATCGATAAAAATCACCCACACAGCGTTTTTTGGCCCTATCTCAATTTCAACCTCTGCCCAGAAGCGTCTGCTTTTGACAGAACAGGTCACAAATTTGGGTGAACTTCGAAGCATGTTTCACTTCTTCACTTAAAATTGAAACTTGAATTCATTGAAATTCTCAGGCCCGTGGATTCAAGACTATTGTGCGTATCCTGCCCCATGAGGTTGCTGATCTGGAGCCAGTGTTAACTCTACTGACCAGACAGGATCCTGCGGATTTCTTGGTAAGAACTGAATTGTAGGGAAGATGATTGTCAGGACAAAATCAGACAGAGTTGTGGGAACTTTGAATACCTTCATAATGTTTCTCCTTAAATCACGATACAACATAGTGTTTGTGTGCTTTTCCCACTGATGGTGTCATCATGATAAGTTAAACTCGATACAGAGATTTCTTTTGACTGACATATCACCCCGACGCAAAAATTCCATCTTATAATAGTTTATGCGGTACCCGCTGCTACTGTACGAACCGGCCAACCAATCCCGTTAGCTCGGTGGTCGAGTGGTAAGACATCTGCACTAGAAAGCATTTTTGGAGCGCTGTGGTCCAATGGTTACGGTGTTCGACTCACTTGCCGCGGTACGTGGGTTTGAACCCGGACGGGAAACATGGTGCTTGTGTTCTTGGGCAAGACACTTTACTACAATTGCCTCTCTCCACCCAGGAGTACAAATGGGTACCTGTGAAGGTAGAGACCAGATTGCGCTGATCTTGAGCTGCTGCAGAAACTGGTCTCATGGCCTGATGAACAGGGGTAATAATTGTGAAGCGCTTTGAGACCTTTGGTATAAAGCGCTATATAAGCACTATATATTATTAGTATTATTATTAAAACAGGAGGTCCTGGGTTCGAGTCCCACCCAAGTGATTTTTTCCAAATGTCACTCGGGAGGTAACACACTGAGTATACAGTGTTTAAACGTCGATGAAGGGCAAAACCTAATTTGATTTATATCACCCCGACGCAAAAATTTCATCTTATAATAAAATAGTTTATGCGGTACCCGCTGCTATATACATCAGATTCAAACCGGCCAACCGATCCCGTTAGCTCGGTGGTCGAGTGGTAAGACATCTGCACTAGAAAGCAGGAGGTCGTGGGTTCGAGTCCCACCCGAGTGATTTTTACCAACTTTCACTCGGGAGGTAACACACTGAGTATACAGTGTTTATACGTCGGTGAAGGGCAAAACCTAATTGATTTACATCACCCCGATGCAAAATTCCATTTTATTAACAATATAGTGTTTGTGTGCATTTCCCACAGACGGTGTCATCATGATAAGTTAAACTTGATACAGAGATTTCTATTGATTGACTTGCTGTGTTCCGTTGTCCCTTTTTCTGGTCGTTCATTTGTGTACCCCATAACCCCTTATACATGTTTGTAAATTCAGTTCTGACGTTAACTGTGGGCAGTGTGTGTCCATAGAACTACATGTACGTATTTCATATAAACTTTTATTGTTACGGGGGAACGATTGTCTAGTCATAGGAACAATTTGGGTAATATAAGGCCTACATTGTGTAACGCACTGAAATTTTTTCAATTTTGGGTTTTCCCCTTCCTTGACATATTTTTATGAACATTGTATACTCAGTGTCCTCCCGAGTGATTTTGAGAAAAAAAATGTCACAAACTACTCTGGTGGGACTCAAACCCACGACCTCCTGCTTACTAGTGCAGACCAATACCACTCGACCACTGAACTTGCCAGGATCATCTGAATGGTTCGATTGAATTTACGTCACCCTTACAGAAAGTCCATATTATGATCATTTAAAAAAAAAAATCATGCAGACGTGGGAGACACGCTACATGCTGCTGCTGTGGATGTCCATCATCTGCATGATACCGTTTGACATGTCCAGGCTGGACAGCAACGCACCGATGGACGACGAGGGGCGGAAAAAAGAGCCTACCATGATGAGGATCATCAACGTGGCTAAGGTGGGTCATTAAACGTTGTCGTAGTGTCAGTCTTTAATTTGTTCTTTCCAAATGCACATCGTAGCGGTACTGAAGCGATTGCATGGCCAAACGCACGCACGTACATTATGTACAACGTGATGCGACATCAGCATCACTGGTAACACGGCAGTACTGCGGGATTTGTATTTTATGTGCATTGGGAGCCAGCTGAGTTCGTGTCAAAATGCAAATTGCTGGTCTTGGTTCCACGACGCCTTTCGCAGTGCGGATGTGCAGCGCGCGCATGCATGGTATCATGCAATTTAACATGCGGAATGACCGAAAAGAACGTCTTGAAACCAATACTGTCACATCGCCCGCATTATATCACAACTGCTAAATGGCCTACTTGGCTAGCACCGCATGCACAGTGGCCCCTGATTGGTGCACAGGCAAGCCGTCTGTCATGAATTATGCATCACAGAACGACACTCCATTGTATGCCATGGATATATATATATATGTACATGTATGTATTTATGCACGATTTTCTGTATGCCCCGCGTGCGGCCAGCAGGCTACCTCGTGCGTGCGTGTGTGAGTGCGTGCGGTGACATCTAGAGTGAAACTTCCTTGCTGTGTCAACTTGTGTGTGATCGTGGTGTTTGTTTTTTAAGAAACCCCAAGAAAATGGAATTTTCAATTTTAAGAAAATGGAATTTTGATTTTACAAAACGGGAAACTTCGGACTTTACCTAAAGACTCTTTGGGCATCAAGTACCAAATTCCACAGAATACTTCATGTGTTGTGCACACTTGTATGGAAAGAAATGCATACTACAGGTTACTGCTCAGTAGTATTTAGTAGCTTTAGGTGAGGTTAGGGTTAAAGGGCCTGGATTGTGCTGGAAATGATTGCATGGTTGGCGCCCACTAGTGATACCCTGGTTTTTAAAAATGTTAGCCCTAGAAAGTTACTCCATATGAAAATGATATAAAGCTCTATTTTTTCCCCTGAGGTTTTTTGTCTTGGAGGTACTGTCTTGGGAGTTTTAACAGGAAAGACCAGGGCTAAATTTCATGGCGCTGCTAAGCACACAATTTTCAGCTAACAGAGACTCCGTCTATTTCATGGAGACCGTAATAAGCACAGCATAAGGCACGCTTACTTCAGAGGAAAAATTTGCTTAATTTGGTGACGTAACAATAGAAATATGCATGCCTGCGCGACCGTTAGCACATCCATGCCGTGAAATAGTGCTTAAGGTTAGCAAATTTTTCTGCTATAATAAGCACAACTTCTGCTAACTATTAAGCAGCGCCGTGAAATTCAGCCCAGGACAAACCCATTCTGATAACGATAAATGTCAATGGGTTCTATTACGTGCATTGCATTACACAACACACAGGACCTACAGATGTCCCATCTGAAGGACGAAGCAATAATGGTTAAGTACCTTGTTTAAGGGCACAAATGTCAAGACCCGGGCTCAAACCCATGCCACTGTTGCCTCTGGAACACCAGAGCATGAGTCCGGTGCTCTTAACCGCTAGGCCATGACACTCCACTAGTTGCTCTGTTCCCTACAAGTGATGAATTTTCTCCTTACTGACATGGAGTCAGTCAGAGCAAGGAAGAGCTGTATTAATCCCTAAATATGATGTATGTTGCTGTTAAGTGGTTTGATTTGTTTTTTCTTCGGCAGCGGTACCTCCGAGTCACCGACAAGTCCAGGGATGCCGCTGCTCTGATGATTGCAAAGTAAGTCACTCAAAAGTCATTAACCCTTACTCTCTGAGGGTAGTTTACTGCATGTCAGTTGGTTATGCCAATGCCCTCCAGCTGCAGTTTATTGGCAGATAGTTTGTCTTAACAGTGAAGGCTCCAATTGGCAGGAGTTGGAGGCCCTGGAGGGTGCCTGATACTGACCAGCTGGGGGCACTCACTTTGTTATCAGAGGACTCTCATTGTTCTCTGTGGCATGTATTGGAGTGCCTGTCCAGTTACCCTTGAAATGACATGGCAGATATTGGAGGGCCATGCAAAAAACATAGGAGATTTTCTTGAGGCACATATTGGCATGCGTTGGAGGGTCTAGTAGGGTAAGGGTTAATGGAGCTAGCCTCACCTTGGAAAACCTTCATATGCACACGTTTGCAAGATGTGCCTTTTTGGTGCTTGCATGAAACAATGTGTTTTAATTTCTTTCTGTCTTGGGATGATTTTTTTTCCATCTTGGGAGTTGGTAATCTTGGGAATGCTTTCAATCTTGGGAACGTTTTTTTCAGTCCGGGGAATTTTTCAATCTTGGGATTTTTTTTTTCAATCTGTGGAAATTTTATTTCCATTTTTGGGAATGTTTTGGATCTTCAGAATTTTTGGAATTGTTGGAAGTTTGGTTTTCATCTTGGGAAGTACTTTTCAACCCCGAGAATGTTTTTAATCTTGGGAATCGTTTGATCTTGGGAATCATTTGATCTTGGAAATTTTTCAAGATGTTCTTGGAAATTTTTCAAGATGTGTTTTTTTTTTTATTGTGATTATATAAGACAGTGTAGTGTGCTTATTGTCTTGAGAGAGTGTGTATATTGGCAGATTTTTGGAACTTTTTGAATCTTAGGGAGTTTTTCCATGCTTAAAAGTTATCAATCTTGTTTTTTTTTCCAATTTTGGATTTTTTCAATCCTTTGACCCTCTTCAGTTACTCCATTCTGTAAGTTAGAAAAAGTCAGGAAACTCTGGCCAAGTTGTTTTGACTTGCATTCAATTCACAAATAACTAGTTTCCATCTGTGCCATATGTCATTTTCTTCCCAGATTTCTGACCCGCCATGACGTCAAGCAAGAGCAACTTCCAAGCTTCTTGGACTGGTGTCTACGCAGCCTGACAGAGACAAAGTGTAAATTAACGATTTTCTTATATTTTATAAATGCCATTATTTATCCTAACGTGCCAATGTGATTCGACTTTTCACGCCCCACCCCCACTGGGCACATGGTAATTACTCATTCACATTTATTCTTGTACTCAAATGAAGCTTTATTTGTGTATTGTTTTTCTTAATTTCAGATGACACGATGATTGGCATGACGTTTCTGTCTGGACTACTGTATACATTGGTATGTAACAGATTTGACATCATTTTCTTTGAATACACTAGCCTAACCCACTTGTCCTTCCTTGGTCAAAGGATTTTCTGTCTGAGGGTGGCATCCACAATTCTATATTTGAAATGATTCCAAAATAACACTTTGAACATCAAGAAGGGAACTTTGAATAGGAGGTTTGCGGTAACACCTTGTGATTGAGTGAGTTGTGTGGTTCTGACAAGAACCAGTTGGTTTAACTCGACGTTTCGAACAGTATGCTCTGCTCGTCATCAAGGGACTTACCCCGTCAGAGCAATATGCTTTGGAAATAAAGAAAAAGTAACAAATTTACACAGTCAAAGCACAGCGTAGACAGATCAGTTAAATCTCTCCTACAGGCATGCAACTGGATCAGCTGATTTCCTCTTTTTTAACTTCACACTTATGCCATTAAAAATTGTAAAACACTGTACAAAGTCTTGTAAAGATTGGAGTTTCCTCGTTTTTTGTTTCTTCCAAGTTGCATGCCTGCTCCTATTGTCTGTGTCTCTTCCCTTAGGCTGATGTTTGTTTGTTTGTCAATTAAATTGAAATGTTTTGATTCTTTGAAGTAGCTTATGAACTTGGATATATTTATAATTGTTTTCTTGTCCGGCTCTTTATGCAAAGTGCTGGACAAATGTTTTGATTCTCTGAAGTAGCTTGTGAACTTGGATATAATTGTGTTCTTTTAAGGCTTCCTTGTTCAAGATTGGAAAGAGAGAAGATCTCGTTGAGTATGGTAAGTCATTTGCAGCTTTTCTTTTGAGTCTCTCAACTTGAGTACTCACAAATAATTTTTTTGCGGGTATTAAGAGTACTCATGAGTAGTTGACCCAATTTCCACAATTAGAGAAACTGACAATGATCATGACAGTGATAGTTTGTAATTTACAATTTGAAATGGCAAAGGCATATAGTTGTAACTGCGAAATGCCTTGTTTAGAGACATAAAGCATGATAATCCTTGGCTTTGATTAAATCGTATACTTGTTCTTTCAATCAGCCATCCTGTCTGTTCATTCAAATTCGCATAAAAACAGGCAAGTGTTTTCAAACCTCGGTTCAATATGGCGAAAGGTCTAAATATTCATGTAAAGTGTCTTACATACTACTGTAACCTGCCTGACTCTTCTCTCGTTTCGTCACCAACAGCTCCTGTGATCCTGGAGAGACTGGTAGCCTGTCAGATGTTTGACAGTAACAACACCCAGCTGCATAAGCTAGCCATGAAGCTGATCCAGAGACTAGGACTGACGTTCCTGCGTGCTCGGACTGCTGTTTGGAGGTAGGACATGAAACAAATGTTGGATACCAATCGTAGGATTGTGAAATGAGAGGCCAATGTTCCAAAGTCACCTCTAGCTGTATGGAGGGAAACCATACTAGCTTGTTGGTTAGAAGTACTGTAAGGAACTGCAAATAGGTCTCTCTCAAATGACGTAATTTCCTACAGACCAGCCACATGCATCGCCATTTTGAGCGTCAACTTGGATAACGCGCATCGGCTGCGTCGTATTTTGAATACATTTCGATCAGCAAGCGCACGTGTTTGGAACATTTTCAACGCTGCGCAATGCATGCTTGATTGCGTAAAATACGGAGTTGCAGTTCTACACAGATGGCCGTCTTTGAAAGAGACCTATACTCCACTCCGCCCAAAAAAACCACCAAAACCCACACCGTCTTTTCGTGCCATCTTAAATATATTCACAAGTCATGGAGGTGTTGGGTTTAATATAATATTTCCTGTCAACCCTGTGTGGTGCTAGCTGAAAGATGCAAAAATTCTCTAAAGAAAACTAAATCCTTTAAGAATGTTTAAATAAACAAACCACCCCTGTTTTTAATTTTGTCACCTGCTAATTGGGTATAAAATTGTTGAAGGTCAGCTAATGTGTAATACTAAAGTTGAATTTAGAACGCTGAGTTTGCTTGGACTTTAGGTATCAGCGAGGCAGTCGATCACTGGCTGACAACCTGAACGGTCAGGTCTCGGTCCCCTTGGCTGTGGCCACCGTCAGCTCACAGATTGCTCCTGAGGATGAGGACGACGAATACGATGTGCCTGAGGAAATAGAGGAAGTCATTGGTAAGTCAAGAACTTGATATAGATGTTTAGCAACATTTAGTACCTTATTTGCTCTTGTCAATCACGGTCAAATTCTTTGCGGAGGCAGCTTTGCCGTCTGTCTCCTTGCAATGGGATTAACTGCACAAAGACTACTTTGAAGAAAACAGTTGGAGAATTTGATCTTTAAATGTCTATGAATTTGAGTATACACTAAGTTTTCTTTTTTTTTTCCGTTGCAGAGCAACTTCTTGTTGGTCTGCGTGACAGAGACACTGTGGTCAGATGGTCTGCAGCTAAGGGGTAAGTGACAGTGTTGTTTGCAAGTCCTTTTTTAAGTCCAATAAGCATATTAACCCTCCGAGTGGGAAATCAGTATTCACAGCAATATTTAAAGCCAGAGTCCATCACTTGCAGCTATCCAAAAAGTAACTGGCGTAATTATTGTTGGATACATACTTGGTTGAAAGGCAGTAATTGGAGTAAACTCCCTCTGAAATTATTCTTTCTGGCAAGCTGTCATTTTGAAGAAATCAACAAAAGAAGGCCTTTTGTTGATTTTGAAGTTCGTTTTGTTATTCGGCGAAGCGTGCGCAAGCATTGGCATGACGCACACGCGCGCAGTTGCTATAATTCGTCAGATCAGTGTGCAACATTGCGTAGCTGCAATCGGCTCAGTGAGAGCATGTCTCGGACGCTGAATTCAGGCCCAATTCAAAACATGATTCAGCAACTTTTGATTTGAAATCGAGATCCTGGAATGTTGTTTTTCTCGAAATGTACAGCTAAAGCTGAGCTGAAACTTCATCAGGTTAGTTGTTCAGCACCCTTCTTTAGATTTTGAGCACTTTTGTTGCTTCAACTGAACAAAATGCACAAATTACAAATGATGGACTATACGTTTAAAACTTTCAAAACCCTGCATGTCAGTTTCAGGTGAAGAGTTGGGAGTTGTTAAACAGTGTCACACGGAGAATCACTGCAAAAGAAAAACCAGCACTATTGAGAGCAGTGAAGCGAGTCCGAATCCACCTGCTTGCCCTGAGCTTAACCACTCAAAATAATTGTGCAGGGATTTGAAGTGTTATCCATACTCAACAGAATATTACCTCAAAAAATGCTGAACTGAGGGTGCTAACTCTACAGTTAAAAGTGGTTTAGTAAAATTTGGAGAAAAACTAGGAGGGTTTATTTATCCTGAAAAAAGGTGACTGTGTTTTCTGGTTATGGGTAGGACACTGAGGATTTTGACAAACACGACTTCTGAACTATTTGAAATGTTTTATCCCCTTGTAGTGTGGGTCGGCTGACTAGCAGATTACCCAGGGAGCTGGCTGATCAGGTGGTGGAATCTGTGCTGGAACTCTTCAAGTGAGTCATCATTTGGGATGAAATATTTGCTCCTGGTTATCAGTAATATCACTTCTCGGCTTAGCTTAACTTTGTAAGCACAGGATCCTTACTTTATGGGTGATTTATACCAAGAAATGTGCCGATGAATCTTCTGCCAGGTTCTATACTTACACTAAGCAGCAGGGTTGGAATAAACTATCCCTTGCTTTGCTAAGTGCTACATTCTCCAAAATACTTCATCATTTGCAAATTGTGCTTGTTAAGTCAATGGCCTGTAAGAGAGCAAGGGCTAAAGTACAAATCAGGAATGCCTTTATGTTATTATTGTTAAATCTTTCTGGTAATGAAAGCAAGGATTCCTCAAAAGGGCCCTAGGCACTGTAGCTCGCAAGCCTGAAGAAACTTTGGTGGGTGGGCGGAAACCTCAGAAAGTTATTCTGGGGAAAACCCATGGAATCAGACAGGGACTGAAAACCCAAAGGGCAATTCCACGGCTACTCACGTTACATTTTTGATGTACTTTTGAGTTTCCTTGGGCTGTAATTACCTACCTGAAAAAAGTTTAATAACTGTTATCCCCATGGTAGATAGAGTAGACCTAGACCTACCTAAGCACCAAAAATAAAATCAGTTACTCACGTTACGAAAATGTAACGTGAGTAACCGATTTTGTGCATCTTGTTTATCATACAAAACACATTTTTCTGGATGTCATCTTTGGTGCTTAGGTAGGTCTAGGTCTACTCTATCTACCATGGGGATAACAGTTATTTAACCTTTATAGTAAGGTAATTACAGCCCAAGGAAACTTAAAAGTACCGGTACATCAAAAATGTAACGTGAGTAACCATGGAATTGCCCCAATCCATATTTTGGCCCAGGCGGGATTAGAACCCGGGTCACAGCGGTGGAAAGCATGGAAAGAACCGCTATGCAAACCTTATTCCACCAATATGACTTGTGATGAATTGATGACATGAGAGCCATGAAATTGGGTCCTGGTTCCTCAACCAACACTTACAGAATCATTTATAACATCTTTCAGTTTACGTGAGTGGGACGGTGCGTGGCACGGCGGATGCCTGGCGCTGGCTGAGCTAGGACGACGTGGTTTACTTCTACCAGAGAGGTTACCAGTAGGTAATAGCTTAGCTTCCATCACGGATGACAGACTTGTGCAGTCATCCTTATCATGTGATTCCCTTCGTAACTCAGTCCTACCTAAATATACTGACATTTGCATTCAAAAACTCTTCGCAGCCATCTTTGAAGAGCTGTTTGAAATCCCCTTTTTATTATTTTAAATGCTTGCACAACAGTTCAGAGATTATAGAAAAATTTAGGGTTAGTTATTTAAAACTCGGGTTCTTTACTGTCTTCTGTGTAGTTGTTCCAGTTGTCTTGAAAGCGCTAGCATATGATGAGAAGAAAGGGTCTTGCAGTGTGGGTGAGTTAAACAAATTTGATCATATACCCAATGAGGGGTGGGGTGAGTCCTATGGAAATTGCCCATGTTCATTACATTGTTACCTGTTCCTAACAGGAACTTTGTACATGTAGGGGAAACGGCAGCTGATTTTAGTGTGTAATTTATGACATAGTGTAGGCCTACAATATACAAACAATTGATTTTAAAAAAATTGCCGTAGCTTCGAAACATTTCAAATACCTGAAACAACTTAGACGAGGATGATCATAGCTCTTTGAATTGCTGTTTGAGTACAATCTCATCGGTCGAATAACAGATGTTGAATCAGCACCGCAAGCCATATAAAATAAATTTTTTTTATCAGTGTTTTTAAATGCAGCGCATCCCAAAGTACCCGGGGAGTGTGTGGCCTAGTGGTTAGGGTTCGTGACTCATGATCAGAGGGTCCGGGGTTCGAATCCAGCCGCTGGTCATATATTGTGTCCTTGGGCAAGGCACTTCACCCCCACTTGCCCCTCTCCACCCAGGAGTATAAATGGGTACCGACATTAGCTGGGAGTAACCTGCAATGGACTAGCATCCCATCCAGGGGGAGTAGAAATATTCTCAGTTGTTTCATGCTACTGAAACCGGAGATAAACGCCGGCCTGATGAGCCACATTGGCTCGGGACAGACTTTACTACTTTACTTTTATCCCAAAGTACCCGCACCTTTTTTTGCGAGGCTCTAGCGTCGCCATGGAAACATGTACCGCCATTATTTTTATATCATATTGAGGCTTGGAATCTTAACTTTATCCCTGGTAGGTATTGGTTTGATTTACAAAAGGGTTTTGAAATGATTCGTGTTCAAATAAAGGCATGTCAAAAACAAACTCCACCAATTTCACGGAAAATCAGTCATGCTCAGTTTGTTCTAATGCGGAAATGGTTCTTCATATTCACGACGTGACAATTCTCTCCAGGGATAAAGTTCAGATTCCAAGATTTAAAATGGTATAAAAATAATGGCGGTACGTGTTTCCGCGCCGACGCTACGGCTTCGCAAAAGAAAGTTGCGGGTATTTTGGGACGCGCTGTAGATCTTAGTTATTCTCCATATTCTTGTTGATCTCCAGGTGCTCACGTCCGTGACGCAGCCTGCTACGTCTGCTGGGCCTTTGCCCGGGCTTATGACCCCGAGGACATCAGTCCCCACGTCAACAAGCTGGCGTCTGCTCTGGTAATCACCACCGTCTTTGACAGGGAGGTCAACTGCAGGAGAGCGGCATCGGTACGAAATAACTTTTTATTACAGGCATGCAACTTTTCCTCGGATCTGCTGATTTCCTCTGCTGATTCGTAGCCAGGCCTATTTTTCCAATTTCAATGAAAAGTGATGAACATATCACAACGATTTTTAGCACATACTTGGATCATTATAGGGGAAATAAATCCTGAAAGTTGCACCAAGATACGGTCTTCCAATCGGGAGAAATTAATTTTCAAAGATTTCACCCGCCAACGTGACCATGTCTGTGTACATATGGTTTCATTCAAAATAAAGTGTTACGTAACCTTTAGAAATCGCCCTTCGCAATGGGCTGTATGCGTACAAGAGTGTAAATCACACTGGCAAGTAGTTTGTTCAATTGTGGTGATGGACAGATTTATCAATTACAAAGAAATTCATGATTAATGATTGTAAATCAATATTCAGTATATGTTGATCAATCACACCAAATCATAAAGTCTGGGGGAAAAAAGCCTCAAAAATTAAAAGCAAAAATATGACGGCTATTGCCCCTTGATGTTTGGTTATTTTTTCTTTGTTTAACTCCCAGGCTGCATTTCAGGAGAACGTTGGTCGACAGGGTACCTTCCCCCATGGCATTGACATCCTTACAACGGCTGACTTCCTTGCTGTTGGCAATAGGAACAATGTCTTTCTCAACATTAGGTTGGTTGCCATGATTTGTTTCCTGTTTTCAGTAATCTTAAACTAAGATGCGTTCCCTGTGCTATTTTCGAGTTTCACCGTGCAAAATAGATTTTAAATTTTTTTTCAGTTGCTATTTTATCCTTGCAATATAAACGTTATGAACTGTATTTCCCAGTACTAAAAAAATTATTTACTTTTGAATGAGGTAAAAAGAAAAAATCCACTGACGTTTATTTATTTAATTATTTCTTCCCAATTCTGACATCCTCTGCCAGACAGTAGTTCAGCTCTTGCTGGACGGGTTCATGTGTATGGAGAATACACAGATCGCTTTTTCAGATGGTTGCAGACACCCCAAATTAAAATAAATTGGTTTTTTTCGTTAAAACAAAACTTCAAAATTGAAATTGTGTTAGGAGAAAAAACAAATCCATTTTTAGAAGAACATGGGATGTGCAATATAAAGGTAAATTTGACGTTTTTTTAAATATTAATTTGATTTTCTTCTGATTCCAGTTGTTACATTGCTGATTTTGAGGAGTACACGCTACCTCTCATTGACCACCTGTCAAAGATCAAGATAGGCCACTGGGACGGGTAAGTTGATATTAAACGTTTGACATCTTTGTGTATATTCTGATCAATAAATTCAGGATTCCTGATATGTGGTTCAAGAAATTTGATTCAAGTCTAATGTCCTGGAAAACAGTTGTTTCCAAATGGTACAAAGATAAAGTAAGTTGCAAACATACACAGATTATAAACAAGAGTGTGGCGTGCCGTGGCCTAGTGGTCTGGAGCATTTTATTTGTGGTCTGCGGGTAGTTCTGCAGGTTGTGGGTTCGATTTCACTCTGAGGTCATGGTGCATGTGCCCTTGGGCAAGGCACTTTGTCACTCATTGCTTCTCTCCACCCAGGAGTAGATGGATATGTGAGGGCAGTGTTGGTTACTGTGAGAGGTTGATTACGGCCAAAAGTGCTGAAATGGCTGCCTACCGGCCGTGTATGCTCCCTAGGGAGTTGAGAAGCAGAGTTGTAACGAGTCACTGATTTTTGTGACTCGAGTCGAGTCGAGTCATTTTAAAGAAGTGACTCGAGTCGAGTCGAGTCATTAGGTCAACAGGGTCGAGTCGAGTCGAGTCGAGTCACAGAGTGTGGTCGAGTCGAGTCGAGTCGAGTCAAGTATTTAGCTCGAGTCAATTCGAGTCACAAATATTTGAACACTAAATTACAATAAAAAGCAACAAACACAAGAGAGAAAGAATACAAGGCACCAGTCTATTACGGAAATCCAAAGACATAAAGTATGGTGTATGGTACCCAACCAACAGTTTCCATTGCTAGCTCACGTCACAGATAAGAAGATGTGAAACTTCGGTCTTATAACTGTTTGGCTTCGGGTCTAGATTTTGTTGTTCGCTGATCACTGACAACGTTAAAACCATTGATCTCCATATACTGTGTATATGGAGATCAATGGTTAAAACCTAATTGCATTATACAAAACTGTTTCTGATTATTTAAAGGTGGGCCCGTCCATATCCATTTTTTTTGGTGTGAAATCGGGACATGAATTTAGCCAGCGTTCCACCAAGAACTTCAGAATCGCCCGAAACCAATGATGAAACCACGGATTGAGAAATGCGTTTTAAGTCTGGTTCCGGGTTTAGCATTACATGCTATAGAACCACAAGGTGGGAGTCCGCGGCACGGTGTATGTTTGTACATTATTCACGAACATTATCGTGACGTGAACAAAAACTGCCAACGCGAACGGCGCAGCGTAAGTCATTGCAAATATTTTTCGCAAGTAAGTTTTGCTTTTATTTTGGGACTCGAGTCTTATTAGCCTTCCTCGAGTCGAGTCGAGTCATTCTGATGAGGGACTCGAGTCGAGTCGAGTCATTTGCTTGCAGTGACTCGAGTCGAGTCGAGTCATTTACCCGTCGGGACTCGAGTCGAGTCGCCAAAAAATGTGACTCGAGTCGGACTCGAGTCGAGTCATTGACTCGAGTCATTACAACTCTGTTGAGAAGGTTTCAGGAGTGTTTGCCCATTGAAACAGGGGAAATAATAATTGTAAAGCGCTTTGATACCCTGTTGCGGCGTAAAAGCGCTATATAAATGCCTGCTATTTGTTTATTATTATATTAACAGTGACCTTGCCTAGTCCAATTGGAACTGAAACTCTCAGTTTAAACTCTCAGTTTAGGATTTTTGTTCTTAGTGACTCAATCAGTGACTCAATCTATGACTCAATTAGTGACTCAGGTAGTCAGAAGACAGTAGGCTGGCTGTTCGGGTCCAGCAGACACATTCTGTACAAAGTCCATAATAAATGAAACCACTTAATCGTATTTTAAAAGTCAACTTGAACGGACTCTTTCCGTTGCGTCAACAACATAGTTCAGAGTTCAAATATTTGTCTTTGTATTTATAACTTGGCAGTGATTCAGTTGAGTCAAATCTTACGGAGCAATATGGTTTTCATACTGTACCCTGAATCTATTTTTACAGTGCAGTTCGTGAGTTGACGTCTCAGGCACTACACAACCTGACACCCAAAGCACCCAACTACATGATAGAAACGGGTAGGTAGTCATTGCTATTGTACACCCATTTTACAATTGTCTGGTTGTACAAATGCAAGGACAGCAGATTTCGACTTCTAAAAAGTGATTGTAAAATCATAGAATCTAAAATAACATTATTGAAGGAATATACACCTTTTTGTGAAACATCTTTCTGATCTTTCATCTTTCTAACCCACCTCAATCCTCTAAGATTGTGTAGGATTGAGGATGAATGGTTTTGAAGCACATGAGGATTTTGGAGGATTGAGGATGTTGTTTGAAGAGGAGGAGGATTTTGGAGGATTGAAGATGAGTGCATTTTGAGAGGCAGGACTGTCTGACGATTTTGAAGGATTGAGGCGCTTGGTATCCTTCATATGAACATAAGTGCAAAATTTTGGGGGATTGAGGATAGTTCCTAGCAAAAAAAGGCTTAGGGGGGTTAGGATTAATTGTTTCAGATTTGATTTGATTTTAGTACTTCTGTCTCAATCAAGTGACTGTGTTAACAGTTAAGAGGTCCTACCTACATGAAGCAGATTGACTGGCTGTGACTGTTTATGTAACTTGATACAGCTGTGCTTTGACTGCAGGAGATTGATAAGCCAGCTGTACAAAAACGTACCTGCCATTTACTTGCCTTTGTCTGTTGATTGAATTTGACTGTCACAGTGCCTACAACAAGTACGATTTGACTGTTGGTGACTAGCCTGTGTATAAAGGCATGACAGGGGAAGAGAATGGATTTTTGACTCTCCGTAACTGTTCTGACAGCAGGAGGATTTAATCACTGTAACACAATAGACACAACATATGTTTGGTTAGTTTCAGTATGCCTGAAATGCAAGTTTAAGTCTTGTCATAAATGCTAGAGTTTGTATTTTTTTTCACTAGTCCTTCCTTCACTGATTCCCCTGACCACCGGGATTGACCTCTTCACACGACACGGTGCCTTACTGGCTGCTGCAGAACTAACGCACGCACTCTACAAACATGCCGTGGACAATAACAGGTTTGTTTGGTAAACTGTATGATCTTATAGACAGCATATCGTTTAATGCCCCCCGTCACACATTCACAGTTTGGAGCTACGGATCTCCATGGTTTGAAATTCTTGAAAAACCGTGGGAGTACCGTATTCATCCTTAGTACATCCGTGGATATCTGTCATCTTCCTTGGGTATTCGTGGAGGGGCTACGGAAGTTTGAAACTGTTCATAACTTTCGTGGTGAACCGCCATGAAAATTAATCCGTAGTGCAACCGTGGGACATCTGTAGGACAACCGTATTTATTTGTAGTGTTATTTGTGGCTATACGTGCATATTCTTGGAGATTCATTGCTCATTCGTGGTAGAAATCTCTACGTTATTCGCTACGAAGGTCCTACGGATATGCCCGGATGTGCTAGGGTTCTGCTTAGGTTGTACTACGAATATCTACACTTTATTCGTAGGAGAACCTTGGTCATCCGTGACCAAATCGTAGACAACCGTGGCTTTAACGTCATTATTCTTAATAATACTGTCGACAGTCCTTACACTTCGTCCATTTTCTTGACAAACCGTAGTGTATTCGTAGAGAAACCTTAGGACAGTCGTGGCTATCCGTCCTGAAACCGTAGTGCATTTTTAAAAAGTTGATTTCTCCGCGAATCTCGAAGGTTCATCGTGATCGATTGATTCTTGGTAAACCATGGATATTCGTAGCTCAAACTGTGATTGTGTGACTGGGGCTTTACTGTTTTATTGTGAGTAAATGATAAATATTTTGTTTCATTTGTACACTTTTTCAGAACCATTGCTGAAGTTCTTGGTCCTCAAAGTGTGAAAGGGTTGAAAGAGATTGTCAAAACGGTAAATGTTTGAAGACTATTGATTTCAGTGAAAAATAATACTTCTTGTCCTTTTTTTTGTAATATGAATATATTTTATAGACAGTAGAACATGTCACTAAATATTTGCTACAAATAAAATCGATATTAGTTACCTAACAAACATTTATTAAATTGATCCAGTTTTTTTTTGGAGTTAGGATACGGTTTTCAGCATTATGTAACATTATTTGCAATATTTCCATCTGCCAGGATATAAACTAATTTGGCTAAAAACATTTAGAAGCCATATTTGAGGTGAAACCATGTCCGCTCGCACGCCACAGATGTTCTTAAAGATGACGTGTGTGCAAAGTGGAAGGAGCCCAAAGTGTGTACGTACTACCAGAAAACGAGCCTTGTTTCACCTCAAAACTGTTTTTTTTTTGCTGAATTAGTCTATAGGAGAAATGTGTTTACTTAAAGAGTTCTTTGTATTCGTGACTTTCATGGTTTTGTGTTTAGATGGTGGAGGCTAAAATGTTCCGTGGTGTGACCGGCGAGGTGCTACGACCAGCCGTCTGTGTCTTCATTGAGAAGATGTCAGTGTCCAAGCTGCCTTTCCACGGAGAAGATATTTTAGGTAGCAACAAATATATGATGCCATCAAGCTACATGAGTCGTTTGTCGGGAATTTTCATTTGGAGATACAGGCCAAAATAGGGCCACTTCATCACATCTCTTGGTGTTCCGACTTCCATAATTTTTTTAACTAAACATGGAAACAGAATGCAGTTTTCACAGCAGTAAAGCTGAGATTGTGCTCTTTTCAAATCTGTAATAAAAATGTTTTGACCAGGGTCGACAAACAACTCATTTAGCTTGATCGCATCACATATATCTCTTAATTTCTGCTTCAGCTCAAAAGATTTGTGTTATCTTTGGCTTTTTCTGGTCTTGGGATTTTTTTGATCTGGGTTTTTTTTTTTTATCTGTTAGCTTGTTCTTTCTAAAGATTTTTTCAGGATTGAAAAGGATTTAAGGCTTGGTTTATTAGATGTTAGGAATCTTTTAAGTCTATGGTTTCTTGACCTTGGGATTTTTTTGGATACAGGTGTTTTTAGATCTTGGAATTTTTGTTACCTTGTTTTTTCCTCAATTTTTGGATTTTTTGCTCCTATTTTTTTTTTCTATTTTTTTATTGTTGGATTTTTTTGAAATTTTTTTCGTTGGATTTTTAAATTTTTTTTTTCAATCATATGACCCTCTGCAATTAACTTAATAATTTAAGAAAGTCTTAACTTTTTGTACCATTTCATTGCTTGTATATATTTCATATTTCAGGCACCAACTCTTCTTGTAAAAGAGTTTGGAAATGCCTGAAATACCTGGTCTTGGATTGGCTTGCTATAAAACCATTCCAATGTGTACTCTTTGATGTTACCCTAGATGTGTGGCAGTCAGTCTTGGATGATAACCTGATCGGCTTACAGCGTACAGCGATTGATATTCAGAGCTATGCAGTCCGGGCGTTGGGTGCGTTCTATATGGAGTATTACCAGCAACTAGATGGCAATGTGCTACCAGGAATACAAGGTAAGGCATTTGAGTTATGAGCTCCGTGCGCTACCAAAAGAGGGCGCCCTTTTACCTAACAACGACGTCCCATGGGCGGGACATTTAGCTGGTTGACGCGCACCGTTCCTTGTGTGTGACGCACGTACACCAGGGGATTTGTTCTATTTACGCGCAGTGGCCGCACTTCGCGGCAAATGAATTGCAGTCAGGCAAGATGGTGTCGGTCGGTCACCCCCAACTGTACTTCCTTTGCCGGTGAGGGGGTACTTGTGAACGGAGCGGATAGCTCTATGTGATAATGTGCAAGTGGAGCTCTTTAGTCCTTTCAAGAACAGCACAGGAATGCTGTTGTTGACCACTCACAACAGTTCCAGTGTATGCATGCACTGGTTCATGCATTTATTGCTTGAAGTATGCGTGACTAAATTTCATGTGAATGTGCTCTCTGTTTTAATTTGACCTATCGCGTTAGAATCACGTTAGAATCGCATTAACGCAACTTGTGAAATATCATCCAATTGCATGATATACAAATGGAAGCGGAATGCGCAAAATCTGAAACAAACAAAACTTAGTGTACCAAAACTCCATTGGGTTGTCTAGGGGGCGTGGCTAACTCGAAAACGGCGATAGGTCAATCCCCCCCTCCTTCAACTTTTTCCGCGATAGATTTGAAAAAACATTTTTTTTGCGCGACCCCAGCTGTTATGACATTTTAGCCTCGAGCCTTGCGCATCTTTTCATACCAAAAACATAAAAATCGGACTGCGGGTTGCTGCGCACCGAAAATTTTTCAAGCGCTACATGCCGTGAAAACTGAATTTTCCCATATACGTCGTGTACACAGAGCAGAATTAACATTCGCATATATGAATAATTAATTAGCCATTATTCCAAAACCCTCCTATAGTCACGAAATTTCTTGGGTATGTGAGTTGCTCTATGCATAAACCGAGTTTCAAAATTTTTCGTCACTCGATGGCCGAGATCTTAGGGGGGGGGGGGGCAGAATCCGCTGAGAGATGGTCAAAATAACCCGGCCCTTTTAGGGTTAAGGTTGCTTCTTTATCATTTATCAATTCTAGCATTTTTGTTGTTAATAAGGATGCTCTAGCATTGAACAGACTGCGGTAATGTAATCTAATACATGATGTATTATCGTAGATTGTATTTTCTCATTTTCGCATTTATATTAACAGATAAGATTTTAGACCGGTACCTGACCGAGCTGGTGACCGGCCAGCAGGAGATGGGCCGGATGGGTGCTGCCATGTCGCTGGGCCACCAGCCCAAATTCATGCTCAAGACTAAACTCATGAGGGTAAGCCCTGTGATGTCCCACCACCAACGAAAAATAATTGTTGCATAGGGTAGTAGGTAGTGTTGCTTAGTCATTCCATACTAGTCACCTAAATTTCAGAAAAGCGGTGGTGTCACCGAGTCAGATTTCAATGAAACTTTTTGGAAATACCTCAGTGCTTATCCTTTTACGGTTTTTTTTTTTGCAAGCGCTAGATATGTGCTTTACATCTCTTACTGATGCCATGTACACACTTTTTAAAAGAGCATTCTTTTGAGGTAGAACAGAAAATATTGTCCAAAAGCATTAAGAATACATTTTCATCTCTAGTTTTTTTTGGATCCAATCTTTCTTCGCGGAAGATACAAATCACACAGCGAACCTCATTCTTGTTTTCCATTCCACCGCGCAAGTCTTCTACTCAAACTGTTTTTGGCCAGTGTTGTAGTTGTGGTTCTTGTGATGCTCCACAAGTACATCACAAGACCAGTTGCAAGTCTAGTCACATGTAACAGGGGATGAACAATATCAAGGAAATGCCTTTGAAATAGTTCATTTGAATAGCTGGTGAATTGACTTTGGACTGGATGACTTGTGATGGACTTGTGATTGACTTGTGATTGACTTGTGATTGACTTGTGATGGACTTGGGATTGACTTGTGATTGACTTGTTATGGATTTGTGATTGGCTTGTGATTGACTTGTGAATGACTTGTGATTGAGTTGTGAATGATTTGTGTTTGACTTGTGAAGGACTTGTGATTGACTTGGGATTGACTTGGGATTGACTTGGGATTGACTTGGGATTGACTTGTGATTGACTTGCGATTGACTTGTGATTGACTTGTGATTGACTTGTTATGGATTTGTGATTGGCTTGTGAATGACTTGTGAATGACTTGTGATTGAGTTGTGAATGATTTGTGTTTGACTTGTGAAGGACTTGTGATTGACTTGGGATTGACTTGGGATTGACTTGGGATTGACTTGGGATTGACTTGTGATTGACTTGTGATGGATTTGTGATTGGCTTGTGATGGATTTGTGATTGACTTGCGATTGACTTGTGAATGATGTGTGTTTGACTTGTGATGGACTTGTGATTGACTTGTGAATGACTTTTGAATGACTTGTGATTGAGTTGTGATTGACTTGTTACGACCTGTGATCCCTCACAAGTAACTTGACCATGATAATGTTGAGGCCAAGTCATTTTTTTTCACACTCTGGCACGAAATTAAATACCATGTGTCCTCAGTTTTGAATTGTGTGTTGGTTGTTTTGTCTTCCCTGTCAGGTCTTGCAAGGCTTAGCCAAAGCCTCCGTCATCACCAAAGAGGTCGAGAAGTTTGCTGAATCCAGGCGGGAGGTCATGAAGGCAATAGCCAGGTACGTTACGAAACACCTAGAGCTTGTCAGCAACAGCTGAGGTCTAGGATTTAAATCCTAATCGCTAGTTTACAAATTGTATCCTCAACATTGAAATTGACCATGTGTAGACTCCATGCATGAACAATAGATGGTGCTTTGTGAACACTTTTGAGAGCTCCAGTAAAGGAGACACCGCGCATGCGTGCACTGAATTGCGCATGTATTTCCGAAGAACGCACAATGATTTTTAATTCTGAATATGCACAAAATAGCCCAGCCCATTGGTGTTTCGACTGATCACAGCCGTGGCTAACCCTAGCCCCGTAGAACCATCCTCAATCCTTCAACATCCTCCAATTGCCACCATGTCAAAATTTGATTCAGCCTCAATCCTGCAAAATCATCCGTTATTTCTTGGTCAGTAGAGGGTTGGCCACTCCCTCAATCCTTCAAAAACAATCTCTGTTAATGGGTTGAGGCATTGCGGATGACATTCAGAGGCAGTGTGGATGATATGGAGCATAATGCAGGGCTCAATTATGCATGGCTGAACATAAACAATGCTGGGTACAGCCTACGAACTCCACACAATGCATCCTCCAAAATCAACCAGCTCTTTTTTTGCCATTCAACCGCAATCCACAAAAAGCCTCTAAAACTGCTTGGAGGATTGAGAGGATTGAGGTGGGTTAGGGTTAACGTCCAATGTGCGTGCACAAAAGCTGACATGCGTGGGTATGATGCATGCACCTGAAATACACAGCCTTGTATTGAAGAGGCACACATACATTTACCCACGTGCCCTTATTAATAAATGATCTATTGCAAGCAAAACTGTTTGCTGTGTAACATGGAACTCCTTTTTTTTGGTTTATTTCAGAATTTGTAAAACTGTTGGAATCCAAGTGGACGGAGATCCGAACAATGTCGTGTGCGGTGATAACATAGGCATGGTGTATTCAGCATTGCTAGGAGCTATGAAGGATTATACTACTGACAGCAGAGGGGACGTCGGTGCATGGTATGCCGGTCATCTTCAAATATTCTTAAATATTCTTTGCAACTGATTGTTTCACTTTCGTACGGCGTCATTAAGTGAAATCTTTGAAGCAGTCATACTTGGGATCCCCCCTCAACCAACACGCTGAAATTCTCCCACGCTGAAAAAAAATGGTCCTCCACTCTGGAAAATGTATATGTGGCGCATGAAAATAAAATCTTTTAAATTTTCGCCAACTTTATAGACAATTTCCCATGCTGTGTCTAAAGACATCATTATAAATCCCCCCCTGTAGTGAATGAAATCCTGTTTAGACGATGGGAATTTAGAGAAAAAGACAACAAACAGTGAACAAAACTCAAGTACAGGGTGAGTCAAAAAAAGCGGAACCCAAACCCCAACAAATATAGTTCATATTAAAAAAAATATGTAGCACCAAAAATAATAATGACTGGAAAGCTAAATTCATAAGCAACTTGGCCTTTTTTCATTGATTTCTTCAAAATGACAGCTTGCCTGAAAGAATAGTTTCACAGTAGTTTAGTCCCCTTACTATCTTTCAGCCAAGTATGTTTTTCAACAATAATTACGTCAGTTACTTTTTGGATAGCTGCAAATGATGGACTGTAGCTTTAAGTGATTGCATAAGCTGACTTCAAGCTTGCTTTGGTTGTTACAGGGTGCGAGAGGCAAGCATGACCAGCCTATATGAGCTGACAAGTCTGGTGGTTAAGACAGAGCCCACGTTGGTCTCAGCGGATATGTGAGTTGCCATCATTATCATCCTTCATCAATCTAATTTCAGGGACAACTGTAGTCGTTCATTGCAAATGTGATGGAGAAAGAACAAATTCAAAACTACAGCACTGCAACAAGACAATGGGTCATTCCATAAATTTGAGGTCCACTTATTTTACCTGAACTTGTTACATCTGACATCTAAGATTTTAGTATTCTGAGGCACTTGTCAATGAAATTTGTACTCCAAGGGTGATTATGAACAGCAAACTACCTACCCAACAAATCACAAATCATTTGAAGTCATTCTTAATGATACTTGAATGGTAAATAACAAAGTACCAAGGTAACAGGGACGGGAACAAAAGTTGGACCCTAAAGTTAGAGAAGACCCAAATGCTATAAATATTTTGTTGGCACTTGCCAAAACACGTACAGTTCATTTAAGAAGTGTGAGCTTGGCGCTACTTAATAATGTTCTCTAATTGTGAAAGCTGGAGTGGTGTTTATCATCACAAGTAAAGTCAAGAAAGGTTTTCGAAAGCAATTGCAGATAGCAGGGATGTAGTCATACATGTAAGTGCCTGCAAAACCCTGCAAGTCCATCACAAGTCCTCCAGTCCCAATTCAAATCACCAGCTATTCAAATGAGCTTTGGCATAGGAATTACTTTGTTATTGTTCATCCACTGTTACTCGTGACTGGAGTTGTGATGGACTCGACTGCGTCCCCAGTAAATTTTAGACGTAGTACATGCTTAGTGTGTCAGCATGACATTATTTGTGACATGGACCATAATTTCTTCGTCAATCGCTTCTCAAAATTGGGAAGGGGGAGGGGACACACCGTGATCAGAAGGAATGTGAACGCGAAGCCCTTATGACGTGGTCATAAGGGGCCTGTTTAAAGGCCCCTGAAAATTTTGGATTCTAGACACTCTGTGGTGCGATCTGAGGCAATTTCTGACCACTTTCATCATCATTTAAACATCATTTTCAAGTCTGGAGGCTATCCTGAGCTATAGAATCAAGACGTAGGCTACAAATTTTGTTCGGGGACAAAAAAAGTGAGGGGGACAAACGATATGATACCCCCTACTTTAAAAAGTGGAGGGGGGACATGTCCCCCGTCCCCCACCAATTGATGCCCATGTGTCGAGATTCCAAATCTCTTATTCTGAGTTTCATGTTTTCGTGTTTCAGAATTCAGCAGTTGATGCAGAGCCTTGCCCAGCAGGCAGCAGAGAAGATTGATCGTACCCGAGCCTGCGCCGGGGCAGCGATCCTGGGACTCTTATACCATGACCCTGAGGTGCCCTACATACCCAGCAGGGAACAACTCCTTCACATATTCCCAAGGTATTTACCCCCTCGTCTTATAATGGCTCCATTCGCAAACAAGAGAGGGCTCTTTTTTACCACTTTCGAGAGCCCCTTGGATGGGACACATAGCATTCAAAATCTAGGATATGAAAGCTCAATTCATAAGCTTTCTTTTAGAACAAGAATCATTCAAATCACTCATGTACTTTTCAAGTTACGGACTTTTAAACACAAGCACTGTTTTAAAGTTCTGTCCACGGATCACAAAAGGGTAAGTGTTCTTTCAGCAAAATGAAAACAAATGACATAGGGATGTGTGTGAATTGTTTTCATTTTGCTGAAAGAACGCACACCTTTTTATCGATCCGTGGACAGTACTTTAAAATGGTTGTTGTGTTTAAAATTCCGCAACTTGAAAAGATCATAGGTGATTTGAATGATTCTTGTTCTAAAAGAAAGCTTATGAAGTGGGCTTTCATATTCTAGATTTTGAAAGTGCTACATGCAGAACTTCACTAAAACAATAGTCCCCGACATTTGGGTTTCGTGTTTTTTTACTCACCCTGTATAGGGCATAGTAAAGCGCAACTTCTTTTATTCTGAATGTGCACCATGCCATAGCGTCTTTGCGTGATCGTCAGGCGTTGTCAGCAATGTGTTCAAATGTCTCTCCCAATACCGTTTAAGGGGTACTTGTGCAGAGCCTATCAACCCATTTACCAAAACCTTGGCTTTGCCGCTAGCATTGACATCATCTTTGACTTCCGATTTGTTCTGCAGCCTTTAAATGATGCAAACCCTACAAACAATATTATTTGAAGCTTTACACGGCAGAGGTTAAAATAGTGAAATGAACTTGCAAGTACACCAAGAAAAAACTTCTCTTTTGTGAAAGCTTCGTGGTTCTGAAAACAACCGATGGTGAGTTTCTAGTTTCCTAAGGATGAACGCAGCAAGATCCACACTTACCACTTTTTCTTTTTAGAACCACCACTTTTCTTACAAAAAAGTAGGATATTTTGTCAAAGTGTACTTGCATACTTATTTCACTACCTTTGGAAACTACTCTAAACGTTGGCATCGTAACTAAGGATTGGAGGTTCCTGATAAAATAAAAGACCAAAAAGAACTGTCTTCAGCCAGATCCCTCCTTCTAGTTAAGGGCGGAAAATCAAGAATTTGGAGACTTATGCCAAAGTAGAAGACAAAACCCGAGGCATGGTAAAAAAAAGTCTGAGATTGCGACAAGATTTTCAGTCGATGGCATTGATTTCAAAAATGTTTATGTGTTGAGCTTGTATTTCTGCTTGCTGTTCACAGACAACTCTTTTCCCTTTGTGTATTTTCTTAAAGTAATTTTCTTTTCAATGGAGTTTACTCCTAAAACCACTAATGATTGGGAATACTGAACAACAAAACCACCAGTAGAAAGATTTATGTTCACTTCTCACCAAAGATCAGCAACCACCTGACAGAAAGCACTGACAAAGCCTAACTACACCTCAGAGAATGGATAGATCACATTGGTTTGCAGATTTGTGTATATATCAAAAGGCAATTACAAATAACCTTGTTTGACAAGACCTCCCTAAGGGGGATGGGTTCTGGACCGATGAATAGCAGCATCAGTCTCTTGGGTTTGGAGGGTTCAGGGTTCACATCTTGCCCCTGGCATTCGCTGATTGCATTTACCATGGCACTTAACCCCCACCCACTAGGATATGGTTGAGCCTGGGGCAAAATAATAAAAGAGTCAGTTGTGATTTCTGTGATATGTCACATACTTTAGGAATGAATTTTTTTGCACTATAAAGAGTCGTCAGTTTTTACCCAATGAGTGGCAAGGTATGAAAAAGAGCATGTAATTTTACCCCAAGATGGTAAATAGAATCCAATCGTTCCTTTCTCGTTGGAAATTACAAGGGATTTGCTGATTTCGTAGGATGCACTTTGTCAAGGTCTTGGGCCGGACCTTGTGTTGTTTTTGCTCAGCCGTGCATAAACATAGGCTTGGATTATGCTTGAAATCCTCAGTACTGCTCCAGGATGTCACTGGCCACTGGCCAAGCCTCAACTTATTGACAGTCACTGCCGCAGGGTTTTGCAGGATTCAGGCAGTGGTCACCCCTCCACGGAACATATTCAAGAAATGTGGAGGAATTTGCAGGATTGAGGCTTTATGCTATTTCTCCATGAGGCCAATTTTGCAGAATTGAGGCTACATCCTAGCAAAAAGGCCTTAGGGAGTTAAAGTCATCCTCACTTGTGATTTTTTTCTCTTTTTCTCTCAGGGGAGACATGCGGGATTTGAACTGGAGTGCACCATCGAAATCCTTCCCCAAGATGACCCAGTTGCTCAACCTGCCTGTCTACAAGCATCGCGTCCTCCTGGGGCTCACAGTCAGTGTGGGCGGCCTGACGGAATCCTTGGTAAGAAATGAGGATTATCGGTAATGCCTTGAGATTCCGTGTGATGGAGCTTAATCTTGCACTATCAATATGGAAACACAGAAAGGATCATTGTGAATATAAGAATTTACTTTTATTTGTCATTTTGTAAACTTATCTTTAATACGTGGAAGGGGTGGGTATTACACTTTTTGTGTAAGAAGTGTAAGCTTGTCTTTATCTTTAGTTTTTTGGTGATCCGTGGACAGAAGTTTAAAACGGTGTTTGTGTTTAAAATTCCGTAACGTGAAAAGTACATGAGTGATTTGAATGATTCTTGTTCTAAAAGAAAGCTTATGAATTGGGCTTTCATATCCTAGATATTGAAAGTGCTACATGCAGAACTTCACTAAAAAAAAATGGTCCTGACATTTGGGTGTCGTTTTTTTTTACTCACCCTGTATAGTAGCTTTTACATAAAAAAAAAGAACTTTCATGCTCGAAAATAAAAGGTGGCGACTTTTTTTTAACGCAAATTTTGGACATTGCCTTAAACGAGATGTGAACCAGTGATCTTGAACAATGTAACGACATTCTTCCAAAAAAGAATACTTTCCTATTTTGGTGGTCCTAAATTGCAACTTCTGGATAGAGTTATGATAAGAAAGTTCTCTTTTTTGCATCTTAAGGACTGATGTAATTTTTGTTAATTGATCTTCAGGTCAAGCATTCAGGTCAGTCTCTGATGGCCTACCTCAAGGGCCTGCCATCCGTCAGTGACTTGGAAGGGTTTGTCCGCACCATGCTAGACGTCTTTCAAGAGAATGAGAAAGTGGATCGGTGAGTTATCAGATGTCCAAACTCATTTTCATTTTCAGAAACACTTCTTATTAATTTGTTACCCCAGATAGGAGTGCCTTCGACCACACCAACTCTGCTATTTTGTTTGGTCAACAAATTAGTCTATGTGTATTAATGTGTTTATTTCGTTCCAACTTAAACCAAGAATTGTGGAATTTTGATCCCAAGTAATGTTTCATTTACGTGAATTTGCTCATTTTTAAAGAAATTTTGTGCACAATTCTACTTCGGAGATATACAGGCATGCAAATTTTCCTCGGATCCGTTGATTTCCTCGTTTTGACTTCTCATGAATGCCATTACAAATTGAAAAAAAAAAAACTGTACAAAGTCTTGTGTGGTTTGGAATTTCCATGTTTTTTTTTCTTTCTAAATTCCCAGGTGCATGCCTGGATATAATTGCATGCTTTGAATTCTATGAAATTGTGTTTTGTATAAAGTATAACGATAGCTGGATGGCGTAAACCCTCTAGGTATTTACAAAAATAACTAGTCTGCACTCTAATATGGAATATGGAGGTAACATACTGAATATACAGTGTTTAAACGTCGGTGAAGGGCAAAACCTAATTTGATTTAGTCTGCATTCGTTTGCAGTTTGTAAACATTTTAAAAACGTATTGAAGAGGTTTTTGTCAAGATTCCCCTTTTGGTTGTTAAGAAAGTTTAGAAGGCACATTTGCTTTGCAGAGTTTGGCAAGAGTCTTGAATTTCTTAGAAAGGATCTTTTTGGTTTACTTTTAGAGTGACTCTGCCTATGATGAAGATGATCAACATGCTATTGTCAGCGGGCTCACTGGAAACATTTGCTGAGAATGAAGAGTAAGTGTCTAATAATTGAAATTTCTCACAAGTCGGTGCTGATATTTGAGAAAAATTGGCAGAGTATGAAGATGTGCAAAGTTTTCATTTTATCATGTAAATAATATTTGTGTCTTGTTAATCCCGTGGAGGGGCAATTTCCAGAATCTTAGAAAGATTGGAATTTAATTTTTTTGGTTTGTTTTCCAGACACCCATTCCCAACACAACTGTTGGAGAGGACTAAGAAAGAGATCGCAAGATGTGGAGAACCGCAGAAACTTCTTGCAAGTGTTGATGTGTAAGTAGCTTTCCACTCTTGTTATTTCAGAAATGTTTCCGTTAAAAGGCTAGGAAATTTCCTTAGATCCCAAATGCTCAACGACAATTCTGAGCTAAAATGTTATATCACATTATACCAGTAATTCGTGGTTTACACCAGTAATTTGTGGGGAGTATGGCCTAGTGGTTAGGGTTCGTGACTCGTGATCAGAGGGTCAGGGGTTCAAATACAGCTGCCGGTCATGTGTTGTGTCCTAGGGCAAGCTACTTCATCCCCACTTGCGTCTCTCCACCCAGGAGTATAAATGGGTACCGGCATTAGCTGGGGAGTAACCTGTGATGGACTAGCATCCCATTCAGGGGAGTATAAATATTCTCAGTCGTTTCATGCTACTGAAACCAGAGATAAACGCTGACCTGATGGGCCACATTGGCTCGGGACAGACTTTACTTATACCAGTAATTGGTCTTTGTTGTCAGGAGTGGGGCCAAGGTTTTTCTGGCTTGCCCAGGTAAAGCAGCATTTATTCCTCCGCCCAAATAACTACCTTATCTGTAACACCAGCAATATCTGTGTAGGAATTAAGGTGCAGACCTTTTCTTGAACTGATAAATGTTATGTGATGTATCATAACGACATCAAGAATGGTTATTTGTGCCAAAAATGATTTTCATCTTTATCAAGTCATCGCCAGCTTTTAATTCTCAGCCTGGGTTAGTACTGTGGTGGAACACATTTCCATTCAGTCAAGTCTCAAATTAACTTTGTAGTCTTGCTCAATTTGTTTTGCAAGTAATGACTGTTTTCCAAGTCATGAACGTGAGAATTCTGAAAATCAAGTTAATCAGGCATGAGATTTTTTTCAGACTTTTTGAATTTGAGAGAAAGACATCATCAGTGCAGAAAGAAATGCATCTTTCAGACCTTTCATCCCATTTTCAGACTTTTTTTGGTAATAAATTCACAATCTCATCCCTGATTAATAAATCTGAAACCTCACCCTTACAATCCATCCAACAGCCCTCCAACAGCCAGCGCTTATGATTCCCAAGTTGACCCGAAAAGCCCCTTTTTTTGTAACAGATGGCGTACTAAATCATAAATATACCTGTTCCTATAAATACAGCCTAGCAGGTTTCTCAAGTTCGACTTTTCCGGAGGGGTTTCTTTAGTGCTGAGGCGCATTAGCAGAGGAGTGACGGGGGGGGGGGGGGGGGGGGGGGGGGGGGGTTTCAGTCATTTGATTCCATAATGCTACATATTCCCCCACCCACACATTCCCCCACCCACACAAGAGTCTTTACAACACGCTTATATTACAGAAAAGATATACTTGCCTTCAGGTTATGCTATTGAGATCCTCATTTTCTTGAATAGTGAACATCAGACAGAAATTGTATGGTACTGCACATTAAAAAAAAAAACACTGAACATTGTTGTTTCTAGTTACAAAACATCACCGGGAGCATGGCATTTGCTATGAGGGGGTCAGTGGGTGAAGAAAACACACATTTTGTAAGAATTTTTAGTGTCACTCATCTCATGTTGTACCATGAGATTGAGAGGCTCTTTTGTCTTCTCAGGTTCTGTTTTTGTTTGTGAGATCTTTTTGATTCATTTGTCTTATGTTTTGCCATGACGGGATCTTTTGCGTCCTCAGATTCTTTTTTTGTTTGTCGGATCTTTTTGTAGTCTATGTAATGCGCGAACAGATTTGCTGATTAATTAGGCAAGACCCTGCGTCTTGACTTCCTAGATTTTGACCAATCAGCAGGCGCTTTCTACATGTATAGGTCTATCGGGTCTTCGGTCATTCACCTGTTGCGCGTCATAGACATGGATTTAAAAAAAAAATGAGTTTGGGTGAATCCTCTCTCCTTCAAGTATCCCCAATGTCTATCCCTGCCTGACAAAACAGTAGACAGACACGGAACCTGTCGACCCGCACTATTTTGCGCAATCGTGCAATCACAGCGAACACTTTCTTCATAAATAACCAACCACAAACCACTTCAAAAAGATTCCCCACGAATGTGAACGCGACAGGAGTTTAATCATTAAAACCATCGGCCGCACAGCCTAGCAGCCACTTGTTTGTGCTTCACTTGAACCGTTCGGTGCCGAAGATTATTGGCTTCTTATAGTCGTGGCATCTTTGATGTATCGGGTTCAGTAGACTTTGCTGGCAATAACCTTACCCTGCATTCTATCACTTGGTTCAGTTGTGCTTCTTAGGAAAAAGAGTTAAAAATTCACATTTGTTTTCACATAATAACAAACGTGGTAAACTAAGAATAGGAACAAGTGTAGAGGCAGCATTGTAAAAAGCTGGAGCTTGTTAGGGTGGGTGGGAGGGGGGGTGCCTAGAAACATAAACAAATTTGCTGTAACAAGATTGATTTTTAATCAAAGACAGATCATGGGGGGGGGGGGGGGGCGTGGCGGGCTGCCAAACAAGTCAGGTTTTATTTTTTTGTTTTAATGATTAACTTGAGAAGCAGTAAGAAAAAGGTGAAAAAGAGTGCCCTCTATCATCAAATTAGGTCCAAGCCCCTGGTTCAGGATCTGCCCTGGATTTTAATGTAAACTAAAAACTTAATTGATCAAACATCAAACTAACAAGTTTAAAAATTGATAATGCACAGCACAGAAATGGTGTAAGAATAATGGATGTTTGACTCATGTTAGGAAGGGTAAAGCTGTTAGATTATCAAGAAAAGAAGGACTGTAGTTCAGATCGGATAGTATTTTTTTTGAAGTATTTGGAGATAGAATAGGAAAAATGGTCCAAGTTCTGGCCCAGAAAACAACTTAATGTTGAGAAAGAATGATGTTAGCTGAAGGTTATTGATTTAGGAGGAATTACCGTTTTGATCATGTACAAGTATAAATCGCCGAAAAAGAATCTTTATTGTGCGTGACTGACGTCGCTGTTTGCAAGTTAGATGTTTTCTTTGGCTCTCAAATGATATTGATTGTCCAAACGCTTGATGTTATCGACCTCGCTCCGTAGGACGAAGTGCTTGACAATCATCCGAAACTTGTCCAATTTGACACGCACATCACTGCATTTTTCTCGTTGCTTTTGTTGTTGGAATATTCCTGATTCGATTATGTCTTCAACTCGAATGAAATTAAAGTTTGAGGGTTGTGCATACATGATCAACATGACAGACATAATATGTTGGCATATTGTACTTGTTTATTGATCATTTTGTGTACGTCAGGCAGTGAATGGTTTTTGTGAGCAATTTCTTCAATCGTGGACAAGTGGTGTTTTGACAAGCTTTTTCTCCTGCAGAGATTTTTCAGGTGCTTACATTTCAATGTGCTATACCTTCAATAAGGGAATAACAGTGTGAGGAGCCGGTCTTCACTGCGTGATAATGACCGGGTGTGGGGGTGACCGCTGTTAATGGACCGAGACGAAGTCGAGGTCCATTAACAGCGGTCACCCCCACACCCGGTCATTATCACGCAGTGAAGACCGGATCCTCGCACTGTTATTCCCATTAATAAATGCCTTTTTAACGAAATAAACAGTTAAAATGCTCCAATTTTGTGACTTTCTTTCGGCGATATTTCCAGACTTTTTGTGTTCATGTTCATGGGCCATATTTTAGCTTAACAGCTATAACGACGTAAACTCAACAGAAACTGCTGCCGTAGCGAAACAAATTACAACAATGTTTTCATATCTTTACCTGATGGAGGAAGCTGAAATCTCGTTTACACATTCCTTGTGTCCGGAATTACAAAGATGCTTGGTTTAGGAAAGGTAAATATGTCGGTGGGTGAAGTGTTCAAAGAAATTAAATCGTAGATCTACGCTTTCGTCGTAAACATCCTCAGTATATACTGCACTGCAACTGTGTTGCGTACGCGTGTGTCAGTCTCACGCGATGGGGGTTGAGCGCATGTGCAGTGCTCTATTGTTACAAGCTACCGCAGGACTGTTACTATATTTTGACCAATCATTGGCTTGCATGGGGCTGAACGGGGCTTGATCAATGCTGGTTCAGGGGCCATTTATTCGCTTGATCTTTGAAGCCGGTCCATTATCACCGTTAATGCCCGGCCACGTGATCGAGTCTCGACCAATCAGAAACCATCAACTCTCCAAGGTATTTATTAATATGAAATAAAACTGCGGAAAAAATTAATACCTTAATCCTTGATAAACACAACAGGCATGATGTGTTAGCATTTGGTACTTATTTATTCATAATGTTTGAATAGATCAAGAGATAAAAAGTTCAAATTAAAAAAAATCCATAACTAGAAATGTGTTTGTGAACAAAAATCATCGGGGACCATCTGCGGCTGGTGGTCTAAGTGTCTGCCAAGTCTAAAGTCAATCAGACATACGAAAGTGCCAAAGTGTATGGTTTGAAGAAAGTGTACAAAACCTATGGAGAAATAATGCATCTTTTAATGTGACGTAACATGACACCTGATTACGTCGTTCCGCCGAAAATCTTGGCATACATCTTCAGGTGGTGGCCTAATTGTGTGCCAAGTCTGAAGTTGATCGGATTTACGAAAGTGCCAAAGTGAATGGGTAGAAGGAGAGGAGTCTGAAAAAGAAAATAAATGGGGAAGGGGGGGGGGGGGGAGGAAAAAAACTTGTAAGGAAAACACGAGCTGTTTTGGTATGTACTCCGAAACAGCTAATAATAAAACCTTCATCCTTGCCACAAAGCATTGTAATACACCAATTCACCAAACAGAAATAAAAACACCCCGCAGAGCAATGATGAAAATCACTTCAAGATAAATTTTGCAAAATCGTGCGGTCCATTAATCAAAATGCTCGCCCCCTTCCAACTCATAAAAATAGTCATGTGTTTGTGGAAAGACGACAGTCTAGTTTTCCTATGGTTGATAAAATAAATAAAATGAAGTGCTGGAAGTAGGTAAAAAGCAAGTAAGATGAAAGGGACAAATCAACTGAAAATCATCCATATCACCTTTTTTTTCAGTAAATGAATAAATTTCTAACTTCAGGTAAATATGAG